CTGGCTGGTTCGGGTAGTAGCTGGCTGGCTGGCTGGCTGGTTCGGCTGACTGGATCAACCGGGGACCGTCTAGCTTGCGTCTACCCCGCACCAAGCCAGCCCGGCATTATCTATACGTCTAGACACCCCTGCGCCACCGAGAGAAGACCATAGCGGTTTGGCGCTCCGCTTGTAATTTACAGCGCACCCCACCGTGTCTCTACACCCACGAACTATCTTACTTCTCTCTCTCTCTTTCTTTATTCTTTCTTTTTCATAGCTCTCTTCCTCTTTTTACCTCTTTCGTTCTCCTGACGGCGACTAAGATCGCGCTTGCACGTCCTCGCGCTTGAGTTTTTCCGCCCCCCTTCGATTCTGCTCATCCGTTCCCCCCCTTCCTGGTCTGACGCTTCTTCATTTTTCTGCCATCCGATACCAGCTCGAGTGACTGGGATCGAAAGTTCACTCGCGCTATCGTAAATCTCGTATCTAAATTGTTTCTTTTATACTTAATTTAAGGCATTTCGTATGAACGAGATAATTGCGTTTAATGATATCATGTTATTGAATTGTAATTTGAATTGTAATTGCAATTATTTTTTCGAAATTTAATAATTACGCGTTTAATGTTAGTTAATAGGACGGGAAAACTAGTTAGCAATATTTGGATATTCGAAATTCTGTCAATCAATTTCGTGACAAATTACAGATATTTTTTATTAATACTGACGCGCCTGATTAATATATCTGCACCAAAGCAAGATAAAATACTTGAAATCTCTCGTTTGTGATTTTTTTCTCTTCCATATAAAATTTTCACACGGTAATTATTCTGTACCACTATTATAGAACTAAATTCTGAAATACGAAATATTCATTTGCGTGTAAAAAAGTAAGACAAAATAAACTTGTTGAAGTTTATTTTGTCTTACTTTTTTACACGCAAATGAATATTTCGGATTGTTTTTAATTTTTATTTAAATAATATAAATAATTATAAATTTTTAAGCAATCAAAAAAAAAAAATATATATATATATATATATATATATTTTATAAATTTCGAAGTAAAATTTAATAATTATATAAATTGAATTATATAATTATGTTAAATAAACTACCGCAAAGAGCAATTAATTTTACAAATAACAAATAATAAACTTGTATATTAATAAACAAACTTTGTGCACAGAGAAAAAAATATATACTGTATTCAAGTAAATATTATTTATTTTAAATATATATATATATCATAAGTTATATATCCGCAAATATATCAAGTTCATCACAAGCATTAAACTTAATTGAATATATTCTGAATTTTAGTAAGTGCAGTATTTTAGTCAAGAATATTAAATTAAAACAAAAATTTGATTTTCTTACTACACAGAGTTAGCGTAAAGTATGATTTTTCTTTGATACAACTTTACAATATTCCTGAAGAGAAAATAATTTCTTCTTTTGAGTACATGATAATGAGATTTTTTAACACTTGATGACTAAATTTTAAGACTATTATCAGGAATACAGTCTTTGTTGAAGAAAATTATTACTTAAAAAAAGAAAACTAAACTGAGTAATCGCTTTTCTTGGCAGTAGAATGATATTTTTTTCTGTGTATATAAATAAATAAATAAATTTTGCTCATCTCACAATTATTTCGTTACGTGATGCTTCTCTAGACTTCTTTTCTGTCTTATTGATTTTTCTCATGGCATTCACAAGAATTCACTCGCGAAAATACGATTAATTACGATTACGCGCGCACTAATCACAAGAATACAGCGATTATGTGGTATTTTGCATTGCATTGCATCGTTAATCGGTCAACAATTGCACGCGAATTTTATTATATTCAGAACAATGCGAAAATTATGATCTGCTTCTAAAATCGTATGGTCACAAATTTTACGTCACTCTTTATTTATGTATAATTTTTTATTTTATTATCTCGCGCTGTATTATAAATGAATAAAAAAATTATTATAAATGACTAAAAAATATGTGAATTAAAGTTAAATATTCGCGCGAAATACTTTATCCGAAAACATACATGTCGTAAAAAAAATTATATAAAACGTTTTATATAAGTTTTAATATCGATATGTAAATGTCGAACTTTTTATTACACAGTTAAAAATATTAAACTACGTGATTAAGTATAATTATATTCATTACTTAAAATACGTTATAACGCCACACGATTCGTTTTATAATCACGATCCGTTAATAATCAGAATATAATATGTGAAAATGAAATCGACAACTTTCGGCGCGCAATATCATACAATTCGAGTTAACTATTGTTTAAGAAACGATAAAATCGCGAGAGTTAATTGATCATGCGGCTTGATAATCGTCAATCGCGATAATCACTAGAAATAATCGCATCTAGTATCTCATAGTACTTGCGAGGACATTATTTGAAAAGTAATATAACGCGCAAGTGGTTTTTTTTACCGAGATACGCCGCGCGACTGCATGTATGTAAACAATAGCGCTCTACACGTCATAAGGTCAGTGCTCCTGTGTCGTATTATTCCTCGATTGAAAATGAAAACACTAGGCAATATAAAAAAATGACAATACATCTTATACGTCCTGCGAATATTTAACTTTAATTCGTACATTCATTCACTTATATTACGCGAGACAGTCAAGTGCTATGAAAATGTGCTATTTATTAGCAACGAACATTATTGCGAAAAATTAAGCCGTGTGAGTCGTACGATTTTGAAGCATTGAGTATTATAATATTCATGATGTTTTCAATACAATACAATAAAATAAATAAGGTATGTGTCGCGTGCGATTAAAATCGGAAATGTTGTATTCTAGTGATCAATGTGTGTGTGATTGTAATTAATAATGTCTTCGCAAATGAATACCTTATGGATGCCAAAGTAACAAAAAATAAGCAAGAAAAAAAGAGAAAATCAGAACAGCAGTCGTCTAGATGAAGCAATCGTAAGTAAAATTTATAATTTTTTTATTAATTGTTATCTGTGAAATTGCTTGTTGTTTATGGTAGGTTAGGTTTATTTTATGTATTGCATTGTAATATAACACCTGTAAAACATTTTAGATTTTATTTCAAATTTTTTTAAATATTTATAATAAGATATTAATAATTAATATCTTTATATAGATATAAAAAGTATAAAATGTATAAAATATTTATTGACATTGTTTAAAAGATTTATAATTATTTAGATTACTTTTTCTTTTTTTATAAATTAAATTTTTCTCTTTTATAACAGCTTAAATTAAAAAAAAGTTTTTGTTCGAAAATAATTTAATGTTATGAAATATTTATTTAATGGCCAAGTAAAAATTCCATTGTTCGACGCAATAGTAGTTTGGAATATCAATTATTTTAGATATTCTGTTTTGTATGTATGTATATATAAAAATTTAGATATATTTATATTTTATTAAAATTAATTTGTGTATGTGTGCATATTATAATTCGATCATTATACTAGTGAGTATTAAATTTTGTATGTAATTATTATATTAATGATTATTTCTGCAGATTTACATTAGTTAGCAGATTTGAAGAACTCTGTAAGAATGTTCAGTATGTGTGTAAACTAGCAAAATATGCAATTTTTTCTTTCTGTCCTTTCAATGCTAAATACTTGACACGATAATTTGGAAAATATATCATTGATATAATAATTATATATTTTAATAGTCGAAACAGCTGTCATTGAAAGATCACATAATGTGTTCTTAAAAGTTTATCCACATAAATATATAAATAAACAGAAAACTGTATCGGTATTTTGATATATATCCCACTCTATAACTTTTAATTTATATAAAACTTAACAAATAATAAATTGTTCAAACTTTTTTACATACACATAATTTTGTCTGCATATCTTTAGATATCTTTACAATAAATTAATACAGTTATTTTGAGATTATATATATGTAATAATTTTAATTTTACAAAAAAATTGTTGCTTCGAACTTAAAAGTGCAAACTAGAAATAATTGCATTAAGAAACCAAATGGATCCAGTGATAAACTTTCGAATTTCTAAAAGTAAGAAAGAAGAGAAATAGGATAGCGCGATTTTCTCTAAGGGCATAAATCAAGCGTGAGATATAGGCTACGACACAACGAAGAAAGACAGATATATATATATGTATATATTATATATTGAGAAAGAGGAAGAAGAAGAAAGAAAGAATGGCGATGAAGGTGCAAATAATCACACCGAAGTCAGGAATTGTACGGATTGACATTTTAAGTTACGAGCGCTTCGAATAGCGGTCTCGCGTAAATTAATCTAGGTACATTGCACTCTACTGCTATCCTTAATTTCTCTCTTTCTCTATTCATTTCTCTTTCTCTTTCTTTCTCTTTCTCTCTCTCTCTCTCTGTTCTGTTAATAAAACTTTTCTCTTTTTCTTTTTTCCCGATATATACGTGATATCCTATTACCTGAACAATGTATTCAAGTTTCATGAATCGTAAATAATCGATCTGATTATATATAATATTATATCATACGTTTTTTTATTATTTTCCGATTACTTTGATAATCGAAGATTCGCGATTCTCATTTCTGCTGACTCTGCAACGATGATGTTACTGCAATCGCGATAAACGTTACGCTAGATAGCGGATTTAGGGAATCTTTGCCGAGCATTTTCTCATCGATTCTATCATTTTGATTTCGAATGATTCCAAATCTTTTCCAATTTCAAATATAACGAAATTAAAGAATATCACCGTAGTTATAAATTCCAGCGATAGCTCGCGTTAATGAAATTTAAAAATTTAAAATTATAAAACAAGGCATTTTTAGCACGTGACATTTTGCATTACATTGTATTTTCTTTCACGATACAATTAATATATTTATATATTTTATTTGAAAATTTTCCATTCTTATTCCGAAAGCTGCAGATTAAGAATTTCAATATTACCGCGCGATAACTATAGCAACAATCCAAAGCATCGAACAAACCGCGCGTATACCTTAGTCAGATTTACTATTGAAGACTGCGTTCGTCGTATGAAAAAATATTGGAATGTCTGTGGAAAAGAAAGATAAAGAGAGCAAGAAAGTGATTGAAAGAGTGATTTCTAAACGCAATCATCTTTTCAGAAACGAAGTAGCCGCTGATAATATTCGGTAATAATACATATCTGCCATAGAAAATACTAAAATCATTAAGAGAAAGTTGATTGCACACAGAATATAATTATATATGTAAACTTATTCCAACACACGTCTTATTAACAAAATAATTGTTCCGTTAAATTCAGCAAAGAAGTGAATTTCCTCGAAAGTGTATCGAGACGTTTATGGTCGCAAAAGTACGGGCATTTAACTGGACAATTTTTCAACGAGGTATCTTAAGAAAATTCTGTCAGTTTTGAATGTACGGTAGGAAAAAAAACAACGCGTGAAAGTTGCAGACAAATTTCAACATGTCCAGTATGTGTCACTGACTGTAGGTGTTGGCGGAAGAATGCAGAAATGCGGGACTTCCGGTGAATACCTTCGAGCGTGACGCGCCGGAAGACGCGATCGAACGTTCACCGATTCCTTTGAAAGCTTCGCCGCCCTTCCCGAGAACGACATCCGCCGAGATCGGTCACCGTTCATCTCGCAAAGAAAACAGCCTGGAATTCGCGGGTCGTTTATTCATCTCGCCAAAATGGACGATCGAGCCCCCCACAGATACCGTCGAATCGCGCGTGACGCAACAAAGATTTATTTTTCTAGGCTGAAGCTTCGATTATTCAAAAGTGATATATATGAAATATATATTTGAGATAAAATATATATAAATGATTGAGTGAAAAATGATGTGCATTATTGCAATCTTAGATTGTTTTACCAGTAATATTTTTAGAAATAATTCCTAATGTGTGTGTACGTTTTGTATTAGAAAAATATATTTTATACAATATTTATAAAAAAAGATTAAACAACAATTTTATTATTTTATTTATGAGGAAAATTATTTTAAAAAATAGTATTCGTGAAAGCATTTTTTTAAAGTTATGTATTAAAGTATGTATTAAAATATTGTTTATTAATTTATTATATCATTGCCGCATTTGAGAACCGCCGATCTTGCGAACATTTTCGTGATTATCAAGCGAAAGTATTGTAGAGCATTGATATTATCGACCGTTTTCAATTCACGGAGAAAGACAGAGAGAGAGCGAGAAAGAAAGAGAAAGAGAGAAATATATAACCTATATAAAATTTACATATATGTATACATGAAATTTCTTCTTCTTTATGAAGTGTATATGTTTTAGAATAATATTAAATATGAATACAGTAAAATAAAAATATTACAATAAATAAGATAAAGAAATAAATAAGATCATATATTATAAATCACCGGAAACTATCGAATACCAAATTTATAAAAAGCTGCGATTCTCTGGAAGACAACCGAAACAATCAAGATACTAGTAAACGATTTTCAAAGTATTTAAACTATTGACACAGCGCGAACACTTCTAGAGTATCATAGAAAATTAGGCTAATGGCAGAGAACGAGATGTAAGCGCTTATGTCTGTCGTAATCATGGTAAAGACAGAGAAAAACGCATATGCAACTTACGTATACGTTTTTCTCCGTCTACGTCCACGACTGCGACAGAAGCGCTTACGTCTCACTCTCTGCCATCAGCCTTATTTGAGATAAAAGTTTATAGTCCAATTTAGTAAAAAAATGCGTCTTAAGAGCGATCAGAAAATGAAACATTACGAAAAGTATTAGCGATGCAGCTAATTACAGAACGATGACGTGCACATACCTGGCGAATATATTGCATAAATTGCCTTCGCTGCACTTCGGAGAGAAGTTAACGTGAAAGAGGCAAAGACGGTTGGAATCCACATCCGGGCAATTCACGGGCATCGTAGACAAAGGATGTCCGTACAGGTGTACAACGATAACGCACGATTAACACGAATGTTTCGACGAACGTCTGACACTTGCGAGACACATTCGCGGCATTTTTTCGCGCACAAAACTCGCGTTTAAACAATAATACGCGTGAGAAATACGGGGCGGTTTGAACGCGACCCTGCGGTCGCCGCGGCGCGGTCACTGTAATGGCGGCGAGATATATCGATAGGCATGCAATATTGCGATTCTCGAAATATCGAAACAGTCGAAAGAGCCAAATAATAGCAGTGACTAAAAATAAAAATCCCCATAGAAATAAAAAATCCCAGATGTCTGTATAAATACCGGAAAATGATCGAAATATGTAGCGAATTATTATACAAAAATATATTCAACACAGTCAATTACTGAATAAAGATATATACATATGAGGCGATAATTATATATTTGTTTTCTATAATTTATTTATTTCTTTTTATTTGGAACAAAAAAAAAATAAAATATATGAAAGTGATTTTAATCAATATACTTGCAGAGAGGCTTTTATTTGATAACGATAGCGATGTTTAATATTGTTTCGATGAATATACCTGATATTTTAAGAGAAATACTCGCGATAATTCTCCGTGCACGAAATTCGTCTTCAGACAATAATACCTGCGAAATACGGAGCGACTTGAATGCGCTTTGTCATCTCATGTTTTGCGCAATGTTCAAGATGTATCGATGTATATATATGTAATATAATTCCCCAAATAATCTTCAAAATTATATATATTTCTTCAATATTATATATATGTATATATATTCTCCGTAAAAATAAAAGATTTGAAACATTTCAATAAATATTAAAAATGTTCAAAATAGATTTTATCAAAAATATACTCAACACATACAGTTAAAGGTGTGTCGAGAAATTGCGAATTCCGATAATTTATTTGATACATACAAAATTGTCCGTGAAAATAATATTAGAATAATATTAGAATATCAAAATGTGCAATAGAACAAACTTGAATCATAATATAGAAGTATAAGAATTTATTTATTTGTTAATATTAATAAAAATACCTCTCAGTAATTCATTTACTTCTTGATAGTCCATAATATTTACATGCCAAAGAATTTTTGCTTTAGTGTAGGTGGCAATTTCTCCGATAATGAAGTTGGATTCACCTCAACCGCAATCAATTCTTCGTCATTTAACCAATTTAAATAAACAAGATGCTGCAAATAATAAAATCATGAGATATTCTCTTTCTTTCCTTCTTATTATTTAATTACTTAAAATGTTTCTTCTCCTGGCAATATTACCTTATATTTTTTAGCAACTTGAAATGCGTGTTGAGATTGTGAGCTAGAAATTGAATTACTGTCTTCTGTATTTTCTCCATTTTCACGCTTTGGTATCTTTGCTTCTTTTTCTGGCAACTCACTGTTTTTATTGATAACATATACGCTTGAATCATCCTGCATGATTATAATATTCTCATTGTGTGGATCAAATATAATATTTGTTATTGGGAATGGACGTGCCAACCAATGTTTTGGCAAATAATTTTGCAAACTATTAGAAAACATTGTATATTGCCTCGTAGGTATATTGTATTCTATAATCTGAAAAACAATAATTGTATGTATGATTAGCAATAAGAGCATTTCAATATTTTGATAAATTGAATAAAATATTAGTTGTGTTCATTTCGTAGTATTAATTTTCAAATTATCATTTTCAATCTTTAATTTAGTATGATTGTATGATTGTGTTGATCTGTTGTGGTCTATAACACATCTTAAAAATTAATATTACCCATATATACCAAGAGATGATGAACTATGAAAGAAGACCATAAAATCCATAAATTGATAATTCAATAACAAGATTATAAAAGCAATTATGTGTAAAATCGCGGCATAAAAATAAAGTTGCAATAACATGTATAAAGTGCAGATTTTTAATATCACAAGTCATTAATGTTATATAGTAGTTTATGATAGCATTATATTAGATTTGAACAGAGATAATCCATTGTATTATACAATTAAAAAATTATTAAACTGTATATATGATATGCTATATTCTCACCTTATGATCTGAATATACTACGACCAGATTGAGCGTGCCTTTTTGCACTGCAATCGCTGTCGCTGGACAACTGTATTTAGGTAATCGCCATGACTTTAACGATTCCGCTGTTATACCATTGCCGATGAAATACACAGCGATTCCACATTGCCGATCCGTAAATATAAGGTATTTGTTGTCTGGAGAAAAACATACGAGACCGACGTTTGTAATGGACTCCTTTGTTGTGTTAAACGAACCGATTAATCTCAAACTTTTCTTGTCCACCCTAAATAATGTCACAGTATTTTCATCGCCGTCATTGTTAATAGTGATAAAGAGTTTTCCATTCGGACTGAACAACATCTTTTGTACTCGGTTCATGGATAAATCGGCATCATTTCTAGATAATAGGGCATCTCCCTCAATCACATCAAAATTAAAAACTCTGACGTGAGTGTCTGTCGAGTACACAATTGTTTTAGAATCTTTATTAATGGCACAAGAGATTATGCTTTCATCACCCTTTGCTTGTAATTGTAATAATTTTATAGGTTCTTCATCTAATTGATGCAGCATGGATGAACGTATTAATTCTGGAGGATCTTTAGTGATTGAACCAAGTCTCCATAATTCTAAGTAATTTGTGTACCGCAACAGAATACATCTAGATTTCCGACAAATTGTAGCACAGGGTGATTGCAATAATGGAGGATATTTTACAAGATTTTTTGGCGGATAACTCGATACAGCAAGATATCCGTCTACTCCAGCTGAATAGAGTTTTCCATTGGTTTCTAAAAGTGCTCTGACATCATGAATATGCAACCTCCTTTCAATTCCCTTTACCCATTGAGATTTTCCACTTGATTTTAGAGTAACTTTACAAAAAGTCCTTACAACTGGATCCACACCCGCACAATATACAATGTTCATATCATGCGACAAGGTGATAGCCAATATATCAGCTGTATGACTTTCATGAGACTCTATCAATACTCCTATGTGAGGATCCCAAAAGCATAAAAAGCCATGAGAGTCGCCAGAGATTATTATGTTGTCGTCAGTGACAGCAAGGCACCAAACTATTGTATTTTTCCTGACGTTACTTCTAGAAGTTGTCATTTTATGTATTGCGTGTCCAGATATAACACTCCATACTCTGATAGTATCTGTGGAACCTGTATAAATCATCTCGCCAGTATTGTCCCATTTAATACACAAAATCCTCCCTTTTTGCTTGTCAAAAATTCTCTCATAAATCAATTTGTCCTTATATACATTAAAAGTATTGATATATCCATCTTCTGTACCGACAGCTAAGAGAGTTTTTTCATGGTTCACATCCATGCACCAAGCTGCACCTCCTATCACCATAACTTTATATTTGCTTCCCAATGTCAGTAAATCATACTCTATCACTGCACCTTGTAAACCAGTCGAGAACAATCTAGGACCAATCCACAGTATGCTTTCCACCGAATTCTCAGCATGAGCAGCTATAGTACATTCGACAAATGGTGCATTCTCGACATTCCAAATTTCTATAGAGTTATCGTTTCTTTAAGAAAGAAAGAAAAAATTAGAAAAACGATTATAATAAATATTTGCATGTAAAAATAACGTGTTTATCGTATAAACATCATACAGCAATAAATGTTAACTAACCTTGCGAGAGCTAATTTTTTCGTTTTTGGTTCGTGACACAAACAAGTCGCGGATTTCGGTTCCGGACTGTAAAATCTTATATTATGAATACGATATGAAGCCATAATTTTTGTTGTATTATTAATTATACCACTACTATTTCATGCACGTGGTGCAAATTGAATAAAAATTGTGGCATTCTTATTGGTTAGCACAAAAAACCTGAAAAAGATCTGCTATAGTGACGCTATTCTCTTTTCGACACTGCTGGAGATATTCAGAAAATTTACTCGTGGGATAGAGCAACATCGAATTGACCAATCGAGATAAAGAAATGTTTGCTCCTCTTGTCCTGATTGGTCAATTAAAAGCTATCTTATCCTACATATAGGATTTTCGAATACATCTCTGGAAAAGTTATTTCATTTATATTCATAAATTATAAGTCATAATTACAAGAATTTACGAACTTAGTATTATAGCTTATTAGTTGCATTGCGTCTTTTATTATAATATATGCTAATATATACTAAATATAGATATTAGGTTATAATTAAGTTATATTTTTACATTCTTGAAAAAATGTTATGAAATTGATGAATACTAATCTTTCAGATCGCAAAGTCATCGGGAAATGACCAAGCTGATTAGCCGGGGATTTTCAGATACGATAAATACGGAAAATCTGAGAAATGTAGGAAGACGCAACACGCAGGCGCTCGGCACTGACACTCCCCAGAAGATCGTCCCACTTCATAGTGCCCGGATTCAGCGGCGCACTTCAGTCGAGAAGCGTAGCCGGGTAGTTTTATCACGGGTGTTTGTAACGACCGGGCAAAGCGAATTACGTGCTACTACGCCATATAGCGACCGAGTAAATAAGTCGTTCCTCTCGCGCTACGCATTATTGTGCTGCTATACTGCTGCTAACCGGAGGATAGGATCCGCGTAAAGTAACGAGGTAAATAATACATACCGCATCGCAATATTCGGCGTCGCATTTGGGGAATTATCGATTGCGACTATTTCCAGAAAGAACGAGTGACGTATCGAATTGACGTATCGCATTTCTCTCGCTCGCGAGTTACGTCAACAACACAAGCTAACATTGCACTCGCGTAATTGTATACGAGTTTGTCGTTTGCGCATTCAATAACACATTGTATGCAGGTTCCGAGAGAAAGCGCCGTTTCTCGCAATTAGTCATCGTTCGTCGGGAGGGTGGGTGGGGGAAGACTATAATCACGAATATATTACCACGGCTCGATAATATGCGCGACCTTGCCATCGTAAAAAGTCGATTAAGAAGCACGGTGTTTCCGTTAAAAATTCGGGGCATTTAAATTTTTCAGTTTTTGCGAAAGGAACGTTGTTCATTTGTATCTTTCCACATCACTTGGTATGCGTCACCGCATTCACTGTACTAGATCTTATTATTAAATATCTTATCTCTATCTTATATATATATCTTTGCGACCAAATAATGGCATACATACACACATATGCATACATACATACATACACACACACATACGCACATTTCACACGTATTTTCCGTGGCATAGGTCGTGCAGCGTAGGTCGTGTAAATGTATATACTTACACACACTTGTATATTTTTCCAGGAAGATGAGTTGTAAACACATATTCAGATAAATTAGTTTAATCTCAGTCAATTAAGATTATCATGACAAGATAGTATTTTTGAAAAAAGTGATATTTATTAATTATATTACAAGGACAAAAGAAAACGTAAAACACACGTAAAAGTACGCGACAATATGTTGTGAACGTTGAAAGATATTTAATAATTGCACATCCTGTTTCTGCTCTATTAACGTAATTAATATTTTCGTGAAAAACTAATTGTCCTTATCATCGTTCACAAGCATTAAACTATCACAAAGTGTAATACTCTGATGAATATTAATTATCAAATGTGTATGCAGTACGAGTTTATTTCTTTCCTTATTTGTTTTTAATGTAAAAGGTATATTATGTAATGGATATTATTAACTGTTCATAGTGAGATATTCTGTTTGATAAATTTCTAACTGAGTTGCATTTTTCTCAATAACGTTTGACAAAATAATAATGTTTTGCAAAATAAATTAACATATTGTTTTATTCAATCAGAAATTATTATTTGCAAATGTCTCACAATTATTAATAATTAGATCAAGTTGAATTAATCATCATTATTTCTTCTAAAGATTATCTCTATAAGATTGCAAAATATGTTGTCTATAGTTATGCATGAGCCAAAATAGTCTTGCGTCTTTTAGGGCAAGTATATGTCTTTTTAGATGTTGGTTTTCATAACTCATTGAGTGCAATAGTGTGGAATATTAACCTTCTTTATTCTTTAACATATCTAATATTGTATTTGTATTTTGTATTTAAGGATATTTTTTTTATTGAAAAAAGTGTTAAAAAAGATATCGAAATAAATTAGTAAACCTAGAATACTTTTCTAAGTATTCTATCAGTAAAAATTACATATAAATAATATTCTTACAAGAATGAGTAATAGATATTTATTTTAATATATTTATATTTAAATAATAATATATTTACTATATAATATATTAATATAATATATAATATATAATATTATAATATATAATATATTAATATATATACATATTTGAATAACTGTCTTTACAGCAACTTTATAGATTTCTTTTTACATTTTTTTTAAATATGTAATGTTAATTTAAGAAAAAGAATGAGAAACACAGAGTAATTATTTTTCAATAATTTTTAAAAATATTTTCATACTTTTATATCGTTAAAACATTTATGCAGTTTTATTGATATTTTTTCACAAAAGAGATCCCTATTATATATATAATGATAGGTTCTTTTTCAGCTAAAACAAAACCAAAAGATGACAACTTGGCAAGCACCTGGTGCAGGATTCTATCCAGGGCAACAAGGTTCTGATCTCTCTTTTTTCTTGTGTTTTCAATATATTTTCTATTATTATATTTCAATATTTTATTGTTTTGAATCTATACCAGAGATTGTTCAATCAGCAGTTAGCCTCATAGCACTTGCTTAAAAGGCTACATCATTTTACACAATACTTTAAAAAGCACATTGTATTAATATAATCATTATTTTTAATCAACATTTGAGAGAATAATCATTAATTAGTTAATATGTATGCAAATAGCATATGTTAAAGAAAAAGTACTGATTAACATCATCTTATTAAAAGATGGTGTGTTTGTATAATGTAAAAACAAAATTATATATATATATAATCTTTCAACAAATATCAAATATAATTAATGTTTTAAAGAGAAGCCACACAATTTATTGCACAATCATATGAAAACTTATTTTTACAAAAGCGTGAAACACACTATGTAAAAGTAATAGCTGCTGTTAGTGCACAGAATCCTTCAAGTTACTACTGCTTATCAAGGTAAAATACATATGATATTGCAATGTTGATGTCTATGTTTTTCAAATTTGACTGTGCAGGTCCATATCCATACCCTCAACAAAATCCTGGGTATCCGCCACCTCAAGAAGGCTACCCGTATCCTCAACAAAATCCAGGATATCCACCACCTTACTCCGGTGGAAACCCACCAGGTAGATACAGCTCAATATACATAGCGCTAAATAATCTTAAAATATATAACATTATTTATCGAACATTACTATTTTTGAATAGGTCCAGGATTTATACCTCCACCAGGTGCTCCACCCTACGGTGAGGCACCGCCAATTAGTTCAGGATTCGGAGTACCACCAGGTCAATCAGGAATGTATGGGTCTGGATATGGAGAAGATCCTCTGCAGGATGAGATCAAAGGATTTGAATTTAATGACAAAACTATTAGGAATGGCTTCATCAGGTAAGTTTGATGGCTCCTAAAATTTCTAGCACGCTCTATATATAATTTATAACAAATATATATTTATCTCTATATAATCTACAGGAAAGTATATAGTATCTTGATGTGTCAATTACTCATCACACTTGGGATGATTACTTGGTTCCTTTATCATCAACCAACACAGCTATGGGTCAGGAGACATACAGAATTGTTTTGGGTTGCCTTTGCTATAACTATTGTCTTGATCATATGTATGGCTTGCTGTACTAATGTGAGACGTAAAGCTCCAATGAACTTCATATTCCTATTTTTATTTACATTCGCGGAGGCTTTCTTGCTAGCTACAGCTTCTTCAACCTACCACTCTGAAGAAGTAAGTTGTCCGAAATAATTTTAATATTCTAATGTTGATTTCAAGTATATGTATGAATATATAATTTTTTATAATTATATATTAAATTGTAAAAAATCTCATTTATCTATAATGCTTTTGCAGGTCATGTTAGCTGTTGGAATCACAGCGGCAATCTGTCTAGGATTAACACTGTTTGCATTTCAGACGAAAATTGATTTTACAGGATTACATAGCGTCCTATTTGTCGCTGTGCTCGTCTTACTTATTTTCGGTATAATTGCGATGATCTGGCCCGGAAAAATTATGACTTTGGTTTATGCATCGTTGGGTGCCCTAATATTTTCTTTCTATCTAATTTACGATACTCAAATGATGATAGGTGGGAAACACAAATATTCCGTTTCACCGGAAGAATATATTTTCGCCGCGTTGAGCCTGTACCTAGATGTTGTTAACATTTTCATCTATATTCTGACTATTATTGGCGCTTCGCGAGACTAATTGCTGTCAATTCTATTTCTATTTCAACTTGTTGTGTTATAACTACTACAAAATACACAGCCAGCTTTTACTTATCGCCGTCCTGCCCTGACTCTTTGCAGTTATCGTTCCAAGAGTACACTGTAGGCGAGCAAATAAAGAAATGTAAAGAAGTTTAATATTGGCAAGACTTTAATTTCTATGAACAGATAGCTTTTACAAATTTTCGAAGATTAATGTGTACAAACAGCACGCTTAAATTTTAAAGCCTCTTGTCTAGTTCTAAGTTCTCTCATAATACAACAAAGTGTTTCCATCTTAGGTATAAAACCAAATATAAATTCTCATAATTGCTCTATTAAGATAGTATTAGGATATGTCATTATTATCATTAAAAGAAACAGTTTTATTTCTTTACTGTATTATATTGTTTAGTAATTAGTAATTATCTTCAGAATCATTTATTGTAAAAGCGATCATGAAATTTATATACCTCCCTCTTATTTATTTCTTTAAAAAACTTGGATGAATTCTTTAATGTGATCGATAAATATACACATATAATTAAAAGCAAACCTAATTAATATAATATATGTATATTAGTGTGATTAAAACATCCAACATTAGTTGTAGTATTACTTTAATCTGACTGTAATTTCAGAGGTAACCCTGAAAAAAGTTTGTATCTGTGGTTGCCTATATATATACATATATGTATATTCAGGAAATTGCGATTGTTTATTTTTTGTCCATATTTAAATAATAAAACTATACTTATAACTATTCTCCAATATTTCTAGTCTCTTTCAATTTCAAATGTGTATTACATTCGTTTCTGATAAATATGTTAATATTGGTATGCATGACAAGATAAAATTTTATGTCTTGTGTAATGTTACATACGTAACAATATATGACAATTCTGCTTAGAATATCATCCAACACAATGCAGAAGAAATAATTAGTTGATTGTTTAATTTTATAAATAATCCATATAAAAAAGAAATCTATAATTTAAATTGTTATAATCTTTTGTGTTTTTGCTATAAAGCGTTACATATAGCTGACATTTACTTACTTGTAATTTTTATCCTTTTCTTTCTAAAAGGATTTGATGCAAGTGTTTTTACATTTAAAGATTTTATATACGATATACATATATAAACGTTTTTAGGAAATAATAACAGGTGATTTCAAAATTGCGGATATTTATATTTATAGTAAATCGGCCGTACACAAAACGGTAAAAGCTTTTGGTTTAAAACTTTCTTATCTTAACTTAATATACAAATAAGCACGTGTCTGGTGCAATTATCCACAGAGGAAAGCTTTTAATGTCCAAAAAGATTGATCAAGATCAAAGCTGACATTCATACTCACATCACTCAACATGGTAACAAATTGCAGCCTCATAACAAACAATATGTCCTAGTTCTCTTTGTTCGTGCAACAATGCAATGGCATTTCACGTGAAACATGAAGATCCATTACTAAAAAACTTGTGTGTTTATGCAAATTTTTCGTAACCATGTAATCTAATGAAATTTCAGGTTTGTTTATATATTATAGATATTTCTATAATATATATAGTATATTATAGAATTCTACAATATATGAAAGAATATGTGTTTTTTTAAACTTACTAACACTTGTGTAAATGTAATTACACAAAACACAACTTTCAAATATATTGGATCAGATGAGTAATCATTTTTTTTTAGCAATATCTATTTTGATTGCAGCATAAAAAAATGTGTTTTTACCAGAGCAAAAGTGAGATTGGATTATACCTGATCAGGCAGTGTTGTGAAATGTTTAAATATGTTATTATGCTTTAAATTATGCTCTAAATCTATCGAGAACTCTATCCCAAGTGTGGCACGAGCTGATATATAGTTCATCACATGCACCATTAAAATAAATAATGTATAAAATTAGCAGCACCGATTCGAATTTCTTTCTCTTGGAATATTAACCGTTACTCTATCGGCCGCATCCTGGGGTTCCTTGCCGTGCGTCTTGTCCAATATTGCCTCCGCTAGTTCACTAAATGCTCGATCAATATTAATATTTGCTTTTGCAGATGTCTCCATAAATCTAATGCCATGTTCTCTCGCTATCTATAAATGAGAAAATTTCATTTATTGAAATTATGTTATATCTTTGATAAATATTAAATTATTGTTTTATCATAAATGTATATGTGTGTGTGTGTGTGTGTGTGTGTGTGTAATTAAATGCTGACCGATGTATATGTATGTGTGAAATACTGACGATGTATATGTATGTATGAAATACTAACTGATGTGTGTGTGTGTGTGTGTGTGTGTGTGTGTGTGTAATAATTAAATACTGACCGCTTCTCCTTTCTCAGTGCTGACGACACGTTTTTCTTCCATATCGCTCTTATTTCCTAATATCATCTTCTCCACGTCTTCATTTGCATGCTACAGAAAATATTTATAGTTAAAACAATTATTTATTTTAATTATATATTTAATATTTGTGAATATATATAAAGTATATAAAGTATATACTTACTTCATCAATGTTTCTTAACCATTTCACAATATTCTCAAATGTTTTTTCATTAGTAATGTCGTAAACAAGCATAATTCCCATAGCTCCTCTGTAATACGACGTTGTAATAGTGTGGAATCTTTCTTGCCCTGCTGTGTCCCTGCAAATATATAAACATAAAAATACATAGATTTTTTTAAGTATATATATATACATGACAACTCACCATATTTGTAATTTGATTTTCTTTCCTCTTAATTCCACTGTCTTGATTTTAAAATCAATACCTATGAGAAGAAGCACTTTTTTATATATTTCAGATATTAAAAAAAGAATAATAAAACATTTTTTTATAAAGAATTTCAAGAAATTATATATATATATATATATATATATTTTTATATATGTTTAATTAATTTTTATTTAAATATATAATTATATATATATATATATATATATATATATATATATATATAAAGTTATTTATATGAAAGAATTTTTTGCAGCATGCGCTTGTCATTAAATTGACGTATGTACAATCAGCGAAATCTTGCGAAAGCAAAGTACAATGATCATTTTTTTTGGCGAGAAAACAAGCTCGTAATTGCATCCTGAATCCATATTTATATGTATGTGTGTGTGTGTGTATATATGAATGCATACACGTGCGCGTGCCCGTGAACTTTCGCACACGGAAACAAAACGAACGACGATCGACTCCATTGCCTTTAATTTTACAGAATAAGGTGCGACGATTGTTTCCTTCTTTTTTTTCTTCAATGAAAGCATCGCCTTTTCTAACCTAATCGCAATAATTGCCAGTCAAACTTGTCAATGAACGGATTTACGATTCCTAGTCTTCCCGTATATATATTTTATACATATTACATATATATATATATGTGTGTGTGTGTGTGTGTGTGTAAAATTTTTTCTTTTTATTTCTCTTACCTATTGTGGAAATGAACGTAGTGGAGAAGGCATCGTCCGAGAAGCGGAACAGTATGCACGTCTTGCCGACGCCGGAGTCACCGATGAGCAGTAGCTTGAACAGCAGATCGTACGTCTTCTTCGCCATTTGGTCGTCGAGGATATTACGCGTCGAGGAGTAAGCGCCGCTGCCGAGGAGGAAGTAAACAGAGGAACGAGGAGAGCGCGGGTGCGGGTGCGGGCTCGCGATCGACTCGCGGCGGTCGGCTCGTTGCGATCAGCAGCGATGATGATTCCTCGCGACACGTACCGATGCCTCCGTACATCGAACGTTACGCGCCGGTTATAGTCGCTCAAGGTTGAACGAGGGCGCGTCTCCCGACGAGAGCTGAGGTCTGCGCGGCTACTCGTCCTATCATGCACGGGCGAACCGGTTGTGAGGAGGCGGCGTACTATTAAAAGACGACGCGACGTCACGCGACGCGACGGAGTCAACACGACGCAGAAGCCATCGGGGGTAAACTCGGGGTAATTTTTGATTCTCTCTCTCTCTCTCTCTCTCTCTCTCTCTCTCTCTATCTCTATCTCTCTCTCTCTCTCTTCTTCGTTCGTTACACGTATGTATCTTGTATGTACATATGATATACGCGATATACGCGCTACTTGGCGCTCAGCCGGCCTACAATGAGATCGAGCGATGGTCCAGTGTTACCGGCTGAATGAGCACGCGATTCCCCGCGACGACGCGTGACGCGCGACGTCGACGTCGCGACTAAAGTCACTAACAAAGTACCGCAATTTTGATCTCAATAAGATAAGATTGTTTTATAGATTTTAAAAATGGCTTGTCGTATGCTACATATTTAGAGTTGTAAATAATTGATAAAAAATGTTCAATCTGTAAACAATGGTAACGCAAATGAAATATATCATTGTTTCTAAATCATTATATGTAATTAACATATAATGTGTATTTAAAATTAATTTATCAATTTAACTCTAATAAAATTATGAAATTTTTTTCAGGTATATTATTCTTTAATATTGTTTAATTTATTGCTTGTCAGTCATTCACATTTATTAAAAATAGTCACTTTATTAAATAATGTGAGAAGCTCTATATTTTTTGCAAATAGTAAGTAGAACTTTTATGGATATAACATTTTGATAATAGTTTATATTTACAGTAGAAAATAATTTGTATTTCACTGTGCTTTTGTTCTATAGGACCTGAAGATGAATTATGAAAGGGTGTGACAAGTATCAGTAATGCAGGAAGACGCAGAGGTAGAGCAAGAAGAGTAGTGAAAAGAGAGAGCGAGCTCCTAAATAAGGAGCAAATTATTCACATGGGAAAAATTCCGATACAATTTCCTGGTCTGAACACTCCTGTGTTTAGAGGAAAAGAATTAATTCAACAGCAAAAACTGCTTGTAAATCTTGAAAGAAAGCAAAAACTTATGGAATTACCACAAAGTCAGACCAGATCAATGCAAATAAAATTATCGCCATTGGAATGTAGTTGGACGAGTGTTACAATGGATGACAGAAGCATTGAATCAGATCTTATTGGAAAAAGTTAATATTTATGCTGTTATTGAATTATAATGGTTAAATCACACACATACAAAAATCATGTAATACGATGTCTATTTTCAATTTTTTTTTTTTGATGTTTCAGTTCTAAATATTAGAATCTTATATAATTAATATCTTTGTTTTCTGCAGATACATTTGAAAGTTTTGAAACCTGGATTTTGGAAAACAAAATGATAACTTATATGATTGGTAATTTAGCACGTAAGACTAGAATCAGTTCATTTATAGTAACTGGAAATGAAAATGGATTAGCTGGATTTGCGTTATCAAAAGCCAAAGCATCCCTAAAGACGATTAAAAATAGGGCTGGTCAAAGACTAATGTATATTCCTACATATAAAGAATACACTGGTAAGAAAATAATTATCAATGCTATATAATATAAAATTTATTTCTTCTCTTTTAATATCACTTTGTATTTTTCAGTGTTCATGATTTCTTTACACGTTTCAGTGTTACATGATTTCTTTACACAGTTTGAGAATATAAAAATATTTGTAAAGAAAATTCATGAAGGATAATGGGCTTGTTTGTCATCATGCGATAAAAGCGTGTTGCGAGATAATTGGCATAAAGGATATGTATGTCAAAGTACAAGGAGGAATGTAAAAACATTCTTTACTGGTTTATTGCAACAGGTATGTATAAAGTATTTAAAAGCATATTATACTTTTTATTTAATTTATATTAGAAAGAAACATTTTTTATTTATAAATATATAATATATATATATATATATATATATATATATATATATATATATATGTTAGACATAAAGCTAAAAAAAAAAACGTGGATTGTGTCGATTAATTAATTAATTGTTTTATTTAATTATCAATTTATGTATGTATATTATTAACAATAATTTTTTTTTACTTAAACTGTATAAGGTTGTACATAAGAAACAATCTTTTTTATTTAGTATTTCAAGCATATTTTCATAGAATTTTAATTATTATATTATTAAAAATATTGAACAAAATAAAGAATTAAAGCTGGCTTTCTCTGCAGTCTCATGGCAGATTATATCAGAAATCATACTTTAATTATTGCAATATATCATGAAACAAATCAATCTCAAAATAATGGAAATATTAGCAGAAATATCAAATATGTAATGTAAATATTTTAATTTTTTTGTATGCGATCTATTTTTTATTCTATCGATGTTTTCATAATGATGCACCTTGAGCACTTTGCTTCATATGTTTGCAATAAAAATATATTAAAGCAAATTATTTTGCAAATTTATTATTCCAATTTTTATTTAGAAAGACTAAGATTAAAAAAGACGTATGCATTTTTTTCAGATATTTCTATTGAAAAAAACGCATCAGATAAAACTTTCCTGTACATTTTAAATGTGCGAAAAGATTTGCTCTTTATTCCACTTACTGCAATAATGTACACTAAAAATGACAGATCTATATTAAAAATGATAGATCTATATTTAGTAGTTGGAAAGAAAGAGAGGAGAAATGAAAAGTGCATCTAGAGAATTTAAAAGAATAAAAATCTAAAAATAATAATACATAAAAATTAATATTATGTATTTTTTTCATGAGGAATATGGGGCGCACATTTATGCATTTATTTATTTAGATGAGATTTACTTTAGAGCACATTCAGTATTCAACTTTAATTTTATTTTCTCTTTCTTATGATATATAAATATAACATAATTACCTGCAAATGCTATCATTTTTGTGTGCTTACAGTGATACAGAAGCAACATTACAAGTACTATATTTACAGATAACATCTGTATAATAAAAAAAGCACCAAAAATCTAATGACGAAAAAAGGATAAATATTGTAGACCAGCATAAGTATCAACCAATTATTCCACCGCTCTGTTTCATTAGAGTTGCAATTTTCTTTTATATCATAAATATTATAAATAAAATAAAGATTTCTGTACGTTTCAAATAAATTTATATATTTTATGTATGTAATACTGCGCACACATATTAAGGTGATAATATCGCAGTTATAATAAGATACAATCCTGGCAATGTAGTGATTTTTGGATCCTACTTAAAATAATTTAATTTGATTTATTTTTGAGAAATGCGCACAATACTTGAGAACAAATTATTTTTGTGCCATGTATTACCTGTGTAAAATTCCACACACAGTATCATATTGTCTGCGATATATGAAAAGCTTTATCGATGAAATATGATTGAGATATAAGAAAAGTAATATAGTACTTGTAATGAATAACGTTAATGTGGAATACATAAATATTTTATATTTTAATTTCATATAATCAAGATGAGATAAGACACTCATAATTACTTTAAAAATGTGTCCACAAATATCATGTAACTTCAATAGCTGCACATTCGTCAAATTAATCCTATTACGTTAAATGAATCACAGCAGCTTGTTTTAATTTAATCTAACCTAACCAATTATATTATATGCTTCTCATTAAAATGTGTAAAACTGTACGTCGCACATTTAATACGATTAATATACTACGTAATGAAATGTAATACACTAATGAAATAATTAAATATTATTTTTGAAAGCATGATAAAATCCAGGGAACATAAGTTTGTGTTTACATTCGATATCCAAAGACACTGAGAGATTAGGTTAGGTTAGGTTAGGTTAGATCAAACAAATTTATCGTTTAACAGCTGGCAGCCCTACGAGATAGGCTGTGCAGCACTGCGCGCGCGTACAAAATAAATTTGAAATCGCTTCTAGCATAACCATCTTCACGCGATCGACTTTATTTGAATTGCACGGCATCGCATCGAATTATGATGCGGCGCCGATTTGTTTGAACGTAATTCGGGACATCGCGATGCTGTATAAGCGTCGAATGAGCACGAATTGTCACGCAAATATGATAATAAATCACATCTACTCACCGTTCACCGGCTGTTCCACAGGCCGCTCCACTCGCTCGCCTCGGGACGTCCCATTCCGATCTTAATGCACACGATATCATCAACGCGAACGCGCGACACTTTATTCGGCACTCCCGATATTCGCTCGCATCCGATAATCATCATCAAGGGCGCAAATAACGCTTCGCTCCATCTTCGCAATGACGCCATCACTGAATATCGTCAAAAATCGCTGTCGCGCGTTTCCATCGACACACTATGAAAGTCGCGCGATCATCCTTGGACACTTTCGACGCTCGTTCACTCGCGATATTCGTTTAAAAACGGTTAAAAGACGCGAAAAATGCGGACGTTCGACGATCCGTGTAACTGCGTATGACTCCGAGTCACGTATGACGCGTATGACGTAGCTATGACGCGTATGACGTAGCAGTCACGCGCCAACATGGCGGCCGAACCACTGCGCATAACTATTCCTGCGCGCAACGTTCGCACAACTTTGATTTCTGAAATATTGTCTACGGCTTTAATTAATAGCACATAATGATAAATATATAAAGATGGAATCAATTAATCATATTGGTCATATATGTAGACTTGCCTGAAGAAAGAGAGTTGTTCTCGATGTTCACTTTTAAAGGAATAAAGAGAATTATATATAAATGTAAATAAATTATCCGAAGACAGAAAAAATTGAGAGGTATTTTTAATTTTTTAATAAAAAATGGAAATGTCTATTCATAGGCTTGTTCTTCTTTTCCTCTTTTGTGCAATTTCAATTCAATATATAACGTAGAAAATTCATAGTATATTGCATTTATTTTTATATTCACAATTATAATATTCGCACGATCATTTTTTGACATTTACAATACTCGTGTGCCTTGTTCTCGATGTTCACTTTTAAAGGAATAAAGAGAATTATATATAAATGTAAATAAATTGTCCAAAGAGAGAAAGAATTGAGGGATATTTTTAGTTTTTTTAGTAAAGGTTGGAAATGTCTATTTATGATAGAAATGCAAAGAAAGAAAATTATTATGTTTAAAATAATAATTTCATATGAAATACAAAATTAAAAGTTACATTATAGAACCTGACCTTAAAAGCGTAATAAAACAATCAAATAGTAGACAGAGAAAAGACTAATTGTAAAAGAAAAAAAGTTGTTAACTTAACTAAACCATTTAACTAAATTATTATCTTTTTAATTGGAATATTTAACTATTATAAATCTAACATGACATTTATTTAACTTAAATATTTCAATATTTTAATTAAAAAAATAATAATTTAGTTAAACGGTTTAGTTGAGTTAACAACTTTTTTTTTCAATGTACGTGTGTGTGTGAGACTTTAAAAATATACTTGGATATAAGTACACTTATATTATTAAACGATTAATACATCTCGTGAGGTTTAATAAATAATTAAACTGTGTACACTGAGAAAAAAAGTTGTTAACTTAACTAAACCATTTAACTAAATTATTATCTTTTTAATTCGAATATTTAACTATTATAAATCTAACATGACATTTATTTAACTTAAATATTTCGATATTTCAATTAAAAAAAAAAAATAATTTAGTTAAACGGTTTAGTCGAGTTAACAACTTTTTTTCTCAGTGTACGCGTGCGCGCGCGCGCGTGTGTGTGTGTGTGTGTGTGTGTGTGTGTGTGTGACTTTAAAAATATACTTGTACATAAATACAATTCTCACATACATCACAGTACGCGTTAAATATTTCGGCAGCGAGCTAACACGTCATTCGACCTTGTGACGTAGCGAGCTAACACGTCATTTGGCCTTGTGACGTAGCGCGCTATTGTTTACATACGCGACGACCTCCCCTCATTCGCACGGCGACATTCCAACGGAGAAAGTAGCGATACGGACCGCTCCGTATTATCGAATTCTTTTCTTAAAGGTACGATCGCGATTAGATCGAAATATAATAATTCGACTATTACAAATGACAAATAATTAACTCTTATAATAAATGCAATTGTGGCGACGATAAATTCATCGAAACGCGATCTTTCATTATTGCAAATAAAAATTGAAGCGAAAGGGGCAAAAATTACAAATTTTCTTGCAATATTCTCCGATTATCGAACTTTACGAATAATAATTATTTCTTTAACATTGCATAGAATGAAATTCGATTTCGCCCGATGTTTTAAACTTTCCTAAACTGCATGCATATATATCATATTAATTAAACGATTGCTGTATCATCAATTTACATTACTTTAATATTTTAATCTTATGATTCGCGTTATTATGCATATATTATACATCAACAAATAGAAATAGTTAATTAGTGTAAGAATCGAGTGGTGCATGATTTTGGCTTCGTTTAAAAATCGAACGAATTATTGTAATTTTTGTGTTCCTCTCTTACAATAATAATAAAATAATAATAATATTATAAAAATACTCGTATCTCGTATGATTATTTTGCGATCGGGAGTGCCGTGCAAAGTGTCTCGCGATCGTTTCTGTATATGACTGAAATATAATTAACTGAAATATAATTGTTTGTTCGCGAGTGAATACGTGACTGCTACGAGGAAACAACAAAGGATGAAACAACAAAAGAGAAGGACATCTGGAAAAGTATCCGACAGAAAGCAGGGAGAGAGCCTGAAGCAGCCAGAGACATGCGGTGAGTAATTTATAAAAATTATTTATTATTTATTATTTATATACACTATTTTTAAAATAGATATATTGCTTATTATTTTATTATCGTTTTATTTTTCGATCATTTAAATATATAATTCGAATTGAAATGCAGTAAAACAATCGTAGATCTAAATAATTAACTTAACAAAAAGATCCATGAAAGATATATTAGTTCTTTTAATAAATAATATCGTATACTTAATCTATATAAAAATGAAATATTATCTATTTATTTCTAAATATTAAATACTATAAATTTAATAGTTATATATTTTGTAAAATTTAATTAAAAGAATCTTTAAGATATTCCAAAAGAAACGAAGAACTTTTCTCAACGTAGAAAAAGTTAATTATAAACAAATTTATATTTAATTATTATAATTAATTTGTATTTAATTTTATTGGAATTTTATTATTAATTTTATTGCATTGTCAAACTCTATGCGATCTCTGTAATGATAGCTATTCACGAAATAGGTACAGTGAAATAATCAATTATTATCGAAAAGAGGCAATAATATACTTTTAAATCTAATTTAAACTTTTGATAAACGATATAAAATTTTTTTATTATGATGAGAAATCTTTATTAAAGATCATAATTGCAAATAAAAATGGAAATAACTTCACGAAGTATATTAATCGTTTAATAAATAATTAATCCGTATGTACGTGTACGTGTACGTGTACGTGTACGTGTACGTGTACGTGTACGTGTACGTGTACGTGTACGTGTACGTGTACGTGTACGTGTACGTGTACGTGTACGTGTACGTGTACGTGTACGTGTACGTGTACGTGTACGTGTACGTGTACGTGTACGTGTACGTGTGTGTGTGTGTGTGTGTGTGTGTGTGTGTGTGACTTTAAAGATGTGTGTTTAATAAATTATTAATCCGTGTGTACGTGTACGTGTGTGTGTGACTTTAAAGATGTGTGTTTAATAAATAATTAATCCGTGTGTACGTGTACGTGTGTGTGTGTGTGACTTTAAAGATATACTTGTATATAAATACACTTGTATATAACTTTAAAAAAATATATTTCCGTTATGTTAATTATCCGATTTTTATTCGATCGTTTTATTGCGCGTTCTGAATCAAATTATATTTAGATCAAATGATATCAGAGAGAATATTTATTTATTATATTAGAATTCTAAATGTGTGTGTGTGTACACATATATATTAGGATAGAAACGAAATAGAAATAGAAGAATAATCATTGCTCGTAAAGATTGCAACAAAGTAATAATTTATAATTTTGATTCTTATCGTATAATCGAGTATCGTATTTCGAGAGCAATCAACTATTTATTAATAATAAAATTGTATATAACTTACGAATATATTCCACTTATTACGGACGTTAATATCGCGACAACGACGAATAAACTTTTCAGAAAAGTTCAATTCAACTATTTCATATATGAGATAGTTCTATCAATCACTGATACAAAAAACTCGTCAATTGACCAGTTGGTGAAACTGTTTCAGTCCTGAGTATTTTCTTAAAAGAGCTGTTGGCGCACATACATGCGTGTATTATGTTTACGCGCGTCACGCGTTCGAACGAACCTTGACATTGTCGCGAGTAAAGTCACTAGATTAACAAAGTACCGCATAGTGCAGATAGTGCACACTTTGTGTAGCTATCTATACTAAGTGCAATTTTTCTAACCTTGACCTTTGTCCTGTGTCCTGTTGTGTGGGAGGTGAGAAAACTCCTTCTGTTGCGCAGAAAAAGAAGAAAATATCAAAAATGCCAGGTTGTTGCGTGGAGAAATGCAACAATCGCAGTCTATATATATACTATCGGACGCCATTTTTGCTCCAGTTTATCTTATTGAGATCAAAATTGCGGTACTTTGTTAATCTAGTGACTTTAGTCGCGACAAGCCGCGCGATCGTCCATCGCCGTCTCAACCGCACGCAGCGATAGGTATCCTCCGTGATAGAATTCCGTTTGTTATCGCGGAAGGTCACTCATCTTGGTGATCGTGCGTCGCTGATAAAGATTCTCGTTCTGCGATTTAGGCAGAAAGAAATGAATTCGAGAATATTTCAAGAATATTTTCTTTTTTTTTCAAGCTGTATTTAGTGTTTTATAATGTGAGAGATAGAATTATCGTATAGATTTGATACTTTGCATTTCCTTTTTCTAAAAATTTTTTATTTAGAACTCGCGCTTGATTTGTAATAGTTTTTATTATTCTAATTATTGTTTTTATTGCAGGTTCTAAATTTGCTGAATGCACGATTTTTGGAGCTATCACTCGAATATCATGCAAGAGAGGAAATTTCCTAAATCTTGGATATTGCCCGGATAATATATATATCTATTACATAATGGAAATAACAAAATAATTATGGTAATGACACCAATTTTATGAACTGAATTTTGCTTATAATTTTAATATACGCAATTATCTGTTTCTTCAAATCTTTGCTATTATATACACAATGAAAAACAAAATAATTATTATATATACAAATGCCAAGCTGTGACGCGTTCATCAAGAATGTGACGTCTGCAAGTTGCAACTAGTCACGTGATCGATGCAAGAGTGCGTTCAAAAGTCCTATCCACCAAGTAAAATAACGTTTGATTAACCAATAGGGACAAAGAGATCCTTTAGTCAACCCACAGGTAGGATTTCCGAACACATTGCAAGTATGCATAAACAGTAACGAGATGATCGAAAGGTGGGGACTTTTCTCACGTTCTAGGAAGTGACAGATATTGTGCATCGCCGCGTGCTCATTGCATTTGATACTGTGCCTACGAACGACGTAGTAGATCACGAGTGACTTCCGTCGATAACGCGAACGTCGACGACGGAAGGTGAAAAGTTCGAAAGGCAACAGAATCCACGTAACATGGCAGCTAATATACAGCATCCGTTCGAGCCACCCAGTTCGGCAAGCTCCGAGAGGTAAATTTTCGAGGAGGCTGTTGTTCTTGAGTCCCCAAACGAAAAAGATAAATGTTTTTTAATTTGGAAATTTTCTAATGACCTTATAGTGATGATGGCGACGTGTGCCTGGACGATCGCGAGATCTTTCTCGCCGACGAGTTGTGCGAGGATGCTGAACACTACAGGCGCTCCGATGTCGTCACACCGACACCGCAGTCTCCGCGGCCACCGTCCACAGGTAAACTAATTTTTAGTATCGCTTCTTATATCGCTTCAGGATATTTTGATTTTCCTTTCCTCAACAAGGGATTATGCGTCACGTGAATTCAATATCTTACGTATGCGTAGGTGGTTTTTATTCTACTAGTCAATGGAACTTTTAAGATAAGATTATGTCAATGAACATGTTTATATACAAATTATTTGTGTGTATGTCAATGTTCAAGATTCATTTAGATGTTGATAATAGAATGATATCTACGAAAGTTAGTCATAACTCATTAATTAAGAAGTAACTGATATGATTGCGTCAGAAATTAATCTTATCAGTAAACGAAATGATTTTAATAAAATTTATTTTATAAAGTAAGAGATTGTGTTGTGTAATTAATGTGTTATATTTTTTTAAGCCTTATACAGATATATTGGTTACAAACTCAGTGGTCCTGTGAAATTATACTTGTAAGAGAAGATGCAAACAATCCAATAATCCATAAATTCCTTAATGAAATTATAATGAAGACTGATACAAAAAGTAAAATAAAAATCCTTCCTTCTTTTTAATCCTATCTCTTCTAATTATAAATCTAATTATAAATCTTAAATCCTTTTTTTAATATGTTATTTAAATATATTCCCTATAAAATAAAAATAAATTCATATACATATATATAAAAGGAAGTAAAAATATAATATATAATTGCAATAGGTTCACAAAAATCTCCACGATCACGTAGACAACGCACTACCAGCATGTCGCAATCAAGTAAGAAGACATCTGCGGAATCCATCCTCAGGAGCAAAACTCGTACCATTTATACAGCTGGTAGACCTCCTTGGTACAATTCAGCTGGTCAACAAGTGGAACCTTTTGTAATTGGTTAGTATATTTAATTATTCATATTTATTGTTAATTTATTAAAAATTATTAATTTCTAATTGTCTCTGAATGTGTATATTTTTACTAAATTGTAAATTTTTATTAAAATAAATATAAATTATTAAAAAATATTTGTGTGTATAGGTATCTGTGGAGGCAGCGCTTCTGGGAAGACAACGGTTGCAACTAAAATCATAGAATCTCTAAATGTACCATGGGTGACTCTTCTTAGTATGGACTCTTTTTATAAAGTGCGTGAAATATTTAATCAATAGGTGTTTGTAAAAGTATCTTTTTGTACACATTATTTAGCATATTCATCACTAGTATGATGGAAAATAATTCGATAATGCTATAGACATTATCGAATGCAGGTGTTAAACGAAAAGCAGCACGAGTTGGCCGCGCGCAATGAGTACAACTTCGATCATCCTGATGCATTCGATTTCGAACTTCTCAAGACTACGTTGCAGCGACTGAAGGAAGGACGCATGATAGAAGTTCCTATTTATAATTTTGTAACTCATCGCAGGGAAAGTAGAACGGTGAATTGACATATTTGTTATTTTTTTTATTTTGTATACAAGCAATCAATGCAATTTGCATAGCTATTTTCTCTTTTTGTTTGACAGAAAACCATGTATGGTGCCAATGTCATTATCTTCGAAGGTATACTTACCTTCTACAATGTCGACGTATTGAAAGTAAGTTGATAAAAAAAAATAACTTAAAGATTGTATAATACAAAAGATCAAAAATAACAAAAAAATATTTTACAAGTTGTGCGATATGAAAGTTTTCGTCGATACTGATGCGGATGTCAGACTGGCCAGACGTTTACGGAGGGATATTTCACAAAGAGGCAGAGATCTGGAGGGTGTATTGAAACAGTATAGTAAACATGTGCAGCCGGCTTTTTATTATTACATAGCGCCTCTTATGGTTCATGCCGATATCATTGTGCCACGTGGAGGAGATAATGAAGTGGCAATAGAACTTATTGTGCAACACATTCACACTCAACTTCAATTGGTATATTGCTTTTATTTAACTTTTAACTTTGTTTTAAAGAGAATTGTTCATAAGATCGCTTTTATTTAACTTTTAACTTTGTTTTAAAGAGAATTGTTCATAAGATCGCTTTTATTTAACTTTTAACTTTGTTTTAAAGAGAATTGTTCATAAGATCGTTTTATTTATGCTATCAATTTATTTTTATGTCACTTAGAGAGGTTTCAAATTGAGGGAAAAGTTGGCACACTCGTATATTGGTCAGCCATTGCCTTCGTCATTGTATTTGCTTCCGGATACACCACAGATAAAAGGTCTTCATACATTTATACGCAATAAGGAGACATATAGAGACGAATTTATTTTTTACTCCAAGCGATTGATTCGCCTAGTCATCGAATATGCATTGTCTTTGTTACCTTTTGAGGTGAATATGCATGAGAGATTTTATTACTACCTATAAGTGCGCTTTGATAAATTAGATTACTCATGACTTCACATTGTACACTGAGAAAAAAATTGTGAACTTGATTAAATATTTTCAAGTTATAAATAGTTGTGTTATAATAAGTTGTAAATAGATATCATGTTTAATTTAATATGTCATATTTAATTTAAATACTAAATATTTCAATTTAAAAAAATAATAATTAGTTGAAAATATTTAGTCAAGTTTACAATTTTTATTCTCAGTGTATTAATAAATGTTCAATTTGTTATTCAAATTTATATATGTGCAAATTTAAAGAGAGGTTTAAACATCTCCGGATATTGTTTTTATTTAAGGATGTAACCGTCGAAACGCCACAAGGAGTGTTGTATGGTGGCAAACGGGGTGCAACAAACAAGATATGCGGTGTGTCGATATTGCGAGCCGGCGAAACTATGGAACAAGCTGTGCGGGACGTGTGCAAGGATATACGCATAGGAAAAATTCTTATTCAAACTAATCAACAGACTGGCGAGCCTGAAGTAAGTATTCATGTGTAAATGTTTCTTTATACATATAATCAGAGAACTTAATTCATTTAATTTGTCGCGTATAGTTGTATTATCTCCGATTACCAAAGGACATCAAAGACTATAGAGTAATATTGATGGATGCTACTGTAGCAACGGGTGCTGCTGCTATCATGGCGATTAGGGTGCTATTAGATCATGATGTTGCCGAGGAAAATGTATTGTTGGCATCATTGCTGATGGCGGAATCTGGTGTGCATTCTATTGCATATGCCTTTCCGCGAGTAAAGATCGTTACTTCCGCATTAGATCCCGAAATAAATGAGAAATTCTATGTATTGCCTGGCATTGGAAATTTTGGCGATAGATACTTTGGCACCGAACCATCTGATGATTAAGGTAGCTTATAGAGCTACCTTAACTGTTTAAAGTACTTATATATTCACTACGTTGTGTAAATTGTGATACAAATATCAAAATAATCTATCATATCTTTAATAAAAAGTGTGTTACATAAACATTTAGATATATTCCATACTTGTTGCAGAATTTATCGCTTTCCATTTTCCAAAATCCGTTATATTATTATTTTTTCAAAAGGTTTTATTTTGATATTTACTTGTATTCAAAGAGGCGTTGTACCAACTCCTCCAGTTTCAGCGATATCGGCGGTAGTGCCACGTAATTGTCTATATCCTCGTGCACTAGCTCGATGAGAACGTCTCCATGAATCTAAGTTGCTATTAGTAGGATTCGGGCTTAGAAGATATGTTATCAAACGATCCAATGCAGCCAAGTCTTCGCTCGTATTACCAGAATTCGTTAAACCTTTGTGTAGATCTTTCCCTATTATTTCCTCAACACTGTCGCTTCCCTTCACGTTATCTCTATTAGCGGTTCCACGATTATGAAGACCAAATCGTGATCCAATCTGCAATATTTTTTTAAATCATTATTGATAATTTAAATATAAAAAGCAGGTATTTGCGGTATTTAAAAATTCAAATGATATTAGAATGAAAGAATGTTCTAATACTTCTTCCGGTCCGTGTTGTCCATAACTAAGCCTTTGTACTTTTCGGAAAGTTTCGTCATTCATCGCTTCTCTGACCGCTTCGTTTAATGTGCGTTCCAATGCTCGTTGTTTAGTTTTGCTCAATCCATCGTAGAAACTAATTTGATTAAACAAAACTGTATAACGCCTTCCTTTGATATATTTATATTCAGAATTATTTTTCCTTTACCTTGAATCCAGAGAACTGTTATCTCTAGAAATATTTTTATCGCGAACCAAACGGATGTCACGCTCCCAAAACCGACGCAATTCCGGTGTAGATGTGTATGGTGCAGCTACTTCTTTAATCTGCGATTATGAAAGAATGATTACGGTAAAAATAAAAATAACATCGCACATACGATAAGAAAGTGCATAAGGTACACGTAATTAAAAAAAATCGATAAACTGTCATGCGATAAGCTGTCGCGCGCTATATCACAATATAATGTAGTTTGTATGTACAGCTTTAATGGTAAAATTTTTTAATACGTTGTGCCTCATATGTATATATTTTATCGTGACGTAACGAAAGTGAGAAACTATAGCAGCAATTTATTATTATTCTCGACTATTATCAGTCATTATATCGTGCTAACTAGTTACCTTTAAGACTATTATCGCCGTAATAAAGATGCATATTACATTGATAAATGTCAGACACGCGCTGATAATGCCGTTGCAAAAGAATTCTACGGGCAAGTAATCGCTGTAGATGTACGTGTACGAACTATTAAAATCCGTGTAAGATTCGCCTTTCATATGGGGAATTTTTACAGGACGATATATGAGCCATATGCATCCCAGAGCCCAAAATAAACCCTGCAAAAAATAAATACGTCTCTTCGATCAATATGATTACGTTCTTGTTGACGACAATTCTAGTAAAAAAAAGAATAATAATGGATATCTTTACAATTGTAATTATTGTATTATAAATTTTAAAATTCAAAAAATTTAATTCTTTTACGGTAGATGCTCTGATGATTTTCTTACGCAGTTAACAACTGGTGGCAATAATGAAGCCGATATGGCGACACCAATTAATGGCCCATTACTACCTTGCAGCAGGGCAACTGCGACACCTGTGCCAGATGGAAGAGCCCAAAGAACGCCCATCCAAAGCGACCTGTAGTTGCCTCTATAGAAATAAATTTTATTTGGATAAAATTTATGATTACGATCAGATTATAATTGAAAGCTGCAAATAGTTATTATAATACATAATCAATAGCAATGTATCTAATCGTTTTTAGCGATACGCACCTACCCTTCATTTCATCAGTTGGCCAATCATTGTAGCCCCAAGGCATCTCGGTTGTACCGAGGATAAGACCGAATATGAAGCCAAAGAGTATTGATAGGAAAATACCGAGCATCAAACTCTTTAGGCCAACCATCTGCAGATTTCTATCGGCTATGATAGTACCAAAAGTTAGCGACATTACAGGTCCCTTTGATCAACGAGACGAAAAAAATGATCAGAAAATGTAAAAATAATAATAAGTAATGTTGCATTAAATTATTTTACCATGAGAGGAGAAACTAGCATAGCTGCAGTGACGTTAGGTGCATTATTCTCAACTAGACCGAGTGCAGCAAGACAGCTGTAAGATTGTAATTTTTTCGAATTAAAAGTTTTGCACGATTATCATACAATTTATTTACTAAAATAATAAAATATATTCTATACTTTCATAATTATTTGATAATTGTATAACAGCATTGCGTAATAATAAAACGTTAATAAAAAAATAATCGTTAGTAGTAAATGGTAAAAATGTTTTCGATAATATTAGATACGGATAAATTTTCCGGAAACATTGTCTTGATTTTTGATTATTTTCTAGAAATAACGTATATAAAAAACAATAATAATAATTTTTATTTTTTCTTACTCCGCAGTTAATACCAATAGTACATAATCGAAGGTAAGATCACCGCCGCTGCGAACACCATCGACCACCTGTTTCACTGTCAATTTCGATCTAATAGACTCTACAAAAGCGTCCCAAGCATTCTTACGATCTTCCGATTCCTTTCGTCTAAACGGCATATAAAATGTATATATATATATATATATATATATATATATATATATATACATATATATATATGTCGGATAATATATTTTAAATAATGTAATTTTCTCTTTTTTATATTAATTTCATTAATAGAGTCAATTAAAGAAACCTGACATCATCCGTGACAGCCGGCAATCCTGCAATACTCATACCACTATACGTACATTGCGTCGGGATTACGCTGAAAAAAATCAATCAACATCGTCATGATTCTAAAACATTAACATTACACGTGTAGTTTCTTCAGCTTAGCAAACAATCACCTTACTATTGAGTTCATTTTAACACCGATACCCATCTCGGTGAGGCAATGTATGCAATTTTCGCAGGGTTCACCAGCGGGAACCGGAAATATCACCTTCCACCAAAAAGTTTCATTTGGATTCACAAATATTTTTAGAAATAATCAAATGAAAAGAAATATTTTCAATTTTTTATATACCTCATAATACATATCCTCTTTATCCTTGCACCATACAACGTGTTCTACTTTCAGCTTTTTGAGCAACTCTCCCAGCACCTGCGATGGAATACAACACAGCGAAACAAATAATTACGAATATTAATTTGTCGAATGAAGAACGCGATATATTTAATTTTTATTCTTTAAAAATGAATAGTTAGAAAAGAGATTGGCATTTTTTTCATAATTCTAATAATTGATAATTTTAATAATAATGTTTTTTATACTTTACCGTTTCCATAGACACGAAAACTGGTGTTTTCGATCGCGCGGGATATCCGTGAATACGCTTCCTGGAGCCAATGCCAAGATCATCATCGTCATCATCATCGGCATCATCAACGTGGCCGCAATCGTCGTCGATTGGAAGCAATTGCGCGCGTGTTTTCGCTTCTTTCAGACGCAGATCCACCTTTGGCGATGCTACAATTTTATTTTTGTTCTTTTCGATTTTCTTGGATCGTTTCAGTGGTACACCGAATACAAGTTCGTGCTCATAGTTCAGAGTAGGAATGCAGACCAAAAATACGACACCCCCGGGCATATTTCGTAAAATCAGTAAAACTTTATCGTACAAAAATCACTCACGCGTCAGTATCATGCGACCGTCAAGACTTTTCTATTTCGTATCATCTGAAACGATCTTCAGAAGATCGAAGATACAAATTTCATTAGCTAATGATAATTACTTTATTGCCTAGCTCGTAATTATTCAGTGAGTAACGACGACTTCGATGCTGTCTTTAGGTAGTCGTGGAACTGCATTTGAGAGTTTCATTGCATCTAAAGTTCGATGATTAGAAATATTCTTACATAAAAATAATCTTTAATTAAAAAACATTACAATTTTTTTATATTTCATAATTTTTATTTCTTTTTAGGGAGAAGAATATTAGAGGAAGAAACAAGTTAAAGAAGATGAGAAATATAAAGGAGAGAATCTAGAGATTTAGAAAAAATTGTCTACTCAAGTGCCATCGTTGACGAGGGCAATCTATTTTAAGGAGACAGGTAAGCGATATTGCGAAATAAAAATGTCGATATATAACGGTCTTTTAAGAAATAAACATTTATTTTCCTTTTAACAAATCAACAGCGTTGAGACTAGCACCTAAAAACTAGTCTGACGTTTTTTACCCGGTCTAAGTAACTAAAGGCCGCAAGGAATATTCCATGCGAGGGGAACTCCCAATATATTCATGCAAAATCATTCCTATCTATCGTCGGAAAAAATTTTTCATTTTTGTTTTGTTTTATTTTCCTTTGAAAAAGCAAACTTATATTACCCTGTCATCCTTGTGCGAAAGTGATTCAATATCAGAGATTATGTATACTCAATTAAGTGCTTTGCAATATCGTCTAGGCAAAAGTATAAGCGTATAAAAATGTCTCCAAGAATCATGGAGTAATAGTCAAAGATTAAAAGGGACTCGGTTTTATTAAAAGTCCAAGCTAATTATGACGGTAATAAAATTGCTGTTTATCATTATAAGTGATACAAAAAACAAATAAGAAATATCGCGATTTCATTTTCCACATGTGAAATTTTTCAGAATCGATGACAAGGTTCCATTATTCGCGAGACAATCTCGTTTAATATATATAACTCTATTATGTAATATTTTTGACAATATTTTGATAAAGTCAATTATCTCAATTATCTCAAAGATTTCTGTCGACGTTCCCCTCGACTTTTGAAATGTAGAGCAGAGCTGGACGCGTTTCCGCTTCCTGTTCTACGCTGAGCGATGACTATATAATCGTATTATTAATTATTAATTAGTAGAACTAGTATCATTACTAGCGAGATAGAGTAACAAGTTTAACAATAATAACTAGAATACCAAATACTCTATTTCTGTCGCATTTTGTGCCTCTTTTTTCTTTCTCTTTCTAAAGCGAGGAAATAATACTAAATGTTAACAAAAATAGTAAGGATGAGGATGCTATTGAGAAAATGACGATGAGAATGCCGGCAATTTTCTAGCATATTTTTTCTAAGAAAATTTGTATGTACATGCTGTTGTTTTTTCGCTAAATATTGACCGAGTGGTGCCGCGGTGCCGATGTTAACAATGTGTCGTAACAGTGTATTACGCACCACATGCACCATATTATACGCGAGTATCCATTTTTTACAGGAAAAATTTTTTAAGGCCATACTCGAAAGGAGAACGGCGCACACGCTATGCATCTCACTCGCGCTGGTTCTATATAATGGTAATTGATTCAATATCGCGCAATTGTTCGCTTAAAAAAAGAAATTTCCTAAATACGACTGAAGATGCGCCGCTATAGAATATTACTTATACCGCGGCGTACTGCGTGTCATGCGTGCGTACATGCGTCAAAAACCGTAATAACGGGACGCGACACACTTAATGCTAGAAGCTGCGATCAGACTAACAACTTGGTCCATAAACGAACAGTATAGTTCACTTTTATTTTAATCAAATGATTGCAACAAATGCAATTCTCGTCCGATTTTGCGCATATAATTTCAAGTTGATAATCTAACCACGAAGCACATAGCAGCGATGATCGGACAATGCAATCGCAGAGTGAGTTCATCGTCGAATCAACCTCCGAGAGAAGGAACTCGTGGTAAGTCTTGAGACAAGTCATTTGCGGTGGGGCGCGATGACTTTTCCACAAGATATTTATCGATAACACTGACAAATATGAATTTTGTTCAAGTACTTCCACAGTCCTTAAGGCCACGATTCCAAGATAGTCCTTACGGATTTAGCAATAAGCCTTTGCTCTCGACAAGCGCCTTCGATTTCGCGAATAATAATTTTTTGCAGGAAAAATAATGGTGATTGAAATTTCCCTATCTTCGTACTTATCATTCCGTTTCCTTCCAATTCGCGTAGCGATCAGAGTATCTAACGCAAGCAAAAGATCCCTTTAATAAGATTTATTGTGTTATAAAAGCGGAGAAACTTATTACTTAACTTTTAGAAAAATATCTCTTCTCTTTTCTTCTTCCTCGCGTAGACTTTTTCTAATCAGCGCGCGTTTTCGCGTTTCCTTATAAATATATTTCTTCTCGTACAAAATCCAAATCGAAAACATTTTTCATCTCCCGTTGCACATTATCCTTTCTGAAATTTATTCATCGCTTCTCGCGATTTAAACAATTACAAAGCAGGACGCGTCAACGAGATTCGGGCCGCGACTCGCAATAAGTTTCCTCCTGCAAAAGGCGGCTTGTCAAGGGCAGGTCCTCTCAAACGGGGGCACTTGGGCGTCGCAGGAGCGAGGTGAGCAACGAATGTCGTGACGGTCGTCGGAAGGGTCGACGCCGTCGACGATCGATGTCCGCATAGACAGACTGTCGCTCCTCGGCGACGACCCCCAAGCGTCAAGCCTTCTCCTCTTCCTCCTCGTCCTCCACATCCTCCGACGATTCCGACGTGGAGGAGGTGATCAGAGCGGTCGACAAGCTCGGCATCTGAGCGGACGAACAGGCGAAGGAGTTAAGACGCATTCTCTGAGCGCTCCAACAATCTGGCAAAGAGTGAGAACCGTCGTCTGTTGCTGTCTTGTCCAGCGACAGCGTCCGCTCGGCGGAGCCGAGCTCCATCATCGACACTCTTCGTCTTGCGGGCACCCTCGGGTTGCCTGAAGAGGGAGATGAAAAGTTTGTTCGAGAAAGTTGCAACTTCCCCAAGTAGCATCTTGGTCTAGTGCTTATGTCGTAAAAGGAATATGTTTTGAAAAAATTTTAATATAATTAGTTTTAAGAAAAATGTTAACATTTTTATTATTTTTAAATTTCAACTTAGAAATTACGAATTTAATATTAGCATAATACAGTGTAATGTTTCATTTTTGCTATGATAGATTTTTTTTACAAAATAGTCTATTTTGCATGTTATTTTGACATAGAATAATAAGATTGATACATCACAAGAACTGAGTATCTCAAGCTAGATTAAATAGAAACTAAATTTAATTATTAAAACTAATTATTAGAAGACATCAATACCCGCCACGGCTATTGCAAATATATCGTAGCGGATATCAATGTTCATATAAGAAACTAAATCTAAAAAATATAGAAACGGTTTCATATACAGAAAAAGTAAGTAAAGAGATTAAAGAGATTTACTATTGTTTTCTATTATATAACAATATTAATATCTATTGCAAATTAAAATTTACAACCAAGAATCGGACTTCTATAAATCAATTAGACATTTATGCATGCGATACATTTTAGAGATAATATTTTTATAGCAAAACAGCAGTTAGTATGTTGTGGGCGGCTTTCGTGTCGATGTTCATTTTGCAATTGCACATAAAAATAACTCCGGACGTATAACGCAATGTGAGTGACGCCCGTCAGGACGCATTAAAAAATAGCATACGTCCAGAGGTTCTCAATATTTTGCGTCTTCGCGTATTATTTCTCATACTTTCGAGCGTTTCTTTTTATTTATTTCTTATGTTATACTTTGATTATAATTTATAATCGTTATTGAGAATCTTCCGAATTACTACTATTATAGAATTTATTTGAAAATTTCTCCGAAATACATAACTTTTGGAACATTCAGACATTATGCGCCGACAGTTTATCTCGGTCAAGAGCATTTCTTCTACACGTTTCAACTAATATAGAATAGAGAATAGAGTATACTTATGTATATGTTTAATTCGGCTCGAGATACGCATGAGAAAGAAAGGGGAACAAAAAATAAAAAATAAAATACAACACACGTACCCTCCTTCTGCTTTGCGTCACGTACCCTTGGTTTTAACGGGGGAATCCATTTTAGCGGGGGTGTACTCGTCCGTCTCGTCCGCCTCGTCGACGGTCTCCTGGCAATCGATACTGTCGGGCGTGCACACGCTCTCACGTCGAAATAGGCCAATCACGGATTGGACTTTCGGCTGTTCGATCCCACCTAAAAAAACGAAAAGACATCGCTGACAGTAAATAGACAGTAAGCTCTCTTGAACGTTAAATATTTTTTACAAGATTTTTATTTTTTATTTTAGAAAAAAATTTTTCAAGAAATTTTTTCTTTTTTTTTTTTTTTTAGAAAAGAACGTGTGATTAGGACGTTATATTAAAGAGGAGAGGGTTAGAATAATCATTTACATTTTTATAAGAGCCATAAAAAATATACCAATTAATATTTAGTAATTAATCGATCTGTCCTCATTTTTTACCTAAGAAAGTGGCAGAAGGCGAGCTATAGGCGAGGTATTCTTTATTGGAGCACCAAGCTGGAAATTCGTTCTGCTTGATTGGATGACCTGACTCATAATCGTCCTCACGTTTCCACGGTAACATGGTTTCCGTGGCCGTGGGGGTGGTTACCCTGTAACCTTCTGCGCCTAAATCAAATATCACAGATAATTTCAAAAGAACAATTTTGAAAAAAGCACCGAAGTGAAATTTGAAATCGTTATAATTTCGGCAAGAATGCAATCTTCATTGTAGATAGAAAAAGATCGGAATCCATCGAAATTATACCGATTTCAATCTAAGATTTCAATTAAGACAAATAGGCACTCGAAAAATAATAGCTAGCAATATAAAAAAATATGCAAAAAAAAGAGAACGGTTCGTAGAGCAACACAAAGTCAACGCTTGGCCTTTTTTTTTTCTCTTTGCGAGAACATACCGTCGCGTCCTATTTTCAAATCTCCTTCGTCCGTATTTATTGTATCCATCGACGTCGTAGCAGTGGTAGCGTGTTGATTGTCCGCGTTTACATTGGGCGAATCTTCCGTTTAGAGATTTTAAAATTTATTAGTTATATGGCTATTTTTTTTTCTTGAAAGAGCAATTAAGTAGACATATGTGCCGCGAGAGATATAATTTTGGCTATCAGAAAGAAAATCGAGATCGTTTATTTTCGATCATTTATTTTTGATCGTTTATCGCTGCATTTGCGTCGACATACTCTTTAAAACTTTTCGATTTAATTCAATAATTCATAAAAAAGTTTTCTTACCGGACGTTCGTGCGGTGAACGTGATTGCCGAATCCCAATCCTCTTTGCTGGAAGGCTTTGAGGTCTCTCCGTCTTCTAACTCGTACAGCACGCCATTGATGTAATCTATTGCGAGATAATTTATGACAAAATAACGAAACTTTCTCTTTCTTCACTAGAAGCACTATTAATTATCCGCAACATTTTACACGTACCTTGTGTAAATAATTTTGTCGAGCCATTTTGTTGAAATTCTGGGAAACTGACATGATTTTGTTTGCCATCCTATACAATCGAAATCGATAAATGAAAAAGAAAAAATATCGAAAACATATAAGAAACGATCGAAAAACACTGATCAAATCTTACTTTAAGCAATTTTTTGCTGCGTTTATGGCGATGCTTGTGTTCTCCCATCATCCGTCGAATATTCATGTGCATTTTGTAATTGACTTGTGTTGACAAATCGCGATCATTTACTGCATGTCGACTGTAGCTCAAACGCCGATGCTAAATGATTATATAAAATTTTTGTGCCTTATATATACATATAAATTTCAAATTTGTAAAAAAAATTGTCGCAACTTGGAATTCTTTTAAATCAATATATGAAGATACCAAATCTATATGTATACATATAAGTTCTAGCGAATAAGTTTTTAAAGTTACAATTAAGTAACAAAATGTCGCGATATTTCATTAAAAATTAAATTATTTTAAAATTTCGTTAAAGAATATCAAAAATTGCCAAAAAAATAAAATTGCTATTTTATATTTAATATATTTTTTATGAAATAGATCTCTCATATACATCATGAAAAGATTACAAAAAATTTAATCATAATCTATTTACCCTTTTGTATGGTTTACAAAGCTCTTCGGCGAGTAAATGATGAATTCTCGCGTCCGTTAAGTCTTTTTTGGAAGGATTGTACTCGAGTTCCTGAAGATCGATATTCCATCCAGTCTCGAGTTGGCTACAGCTGGGACTAAAAAGAACAAGAATGCGATTAGATTGCGCTTTTATTTTAATACGACAATTGTCAGCAGAGGAAAGCCACAAGAATTCCGTACCTTCCGTTAAATTGTCCGGTATTACTGTAATTGCGAAATATCGCTGACATGCTCTCGGTGCCGCTAATATTGCCAATAGTAGAGGCATTTCTTCTTATGTAATCCAATGCATCCTTCATCGCCAGTTTCGAATAAGTTTCTAAAATTTTCGGTTCAGCGCCACAATGATTTCTCACGAGATAAGGTCGGATGAATCTAGTGTCGAATCGTTTGAATCTATGGCAAATCAGATCAGGTGCTGTTTTGAACGGGAAAATATAGGAAATATCTTGGCGATTATTTATTGATAATTAGTAAATAATAATCACAATAATTACAATTTTATTATAATTGTTATGACCATGCAATTATCACACTTTAGAAAATACAAATTTTTATTATTTTTTATTTTAATGAAAAAAACTTATATTAAAAAAGTTTTACGTCCATGTATGAAAGATACAAATTCATTCGTTTTCTTATTCCTATTTATGAAATCGGCAATTTTATGCAGATCATTGTTTGATTGATCTCAAGCAATTAATTGAGTAAACAAAATTATAAGCTAGCTGCTAAGTGTCTTACTTATCTCGCACGTGGTAGTTGCCGTGTTTTCCCAGAATATCCTCGATACCTGCCATCGTATGATCCATTATCTGAGAATTAGAAAAGCGATTATTTATTTTTCAGTTCGCGCGACACGAACAAGACGTGCGAGATGTCACAAATTTACAATACGAGGATTTGCTACGCGAGCAAACGCAAACGTAAGCAGAATGTTATATCAAAGTCCTGGTGAAAATTGCCGTTATGTACACATTCTATAATGCGGCTTGACAATGACAAACGTTATCCTATTTCATAATTCGACCTTATTCTTCGTATCGATTGCATCGGCTGGTTCTGTCGTTTCGTTGAAGAAAAATACGCCGAGATTCGAGGGCCAACAGACTTATTGTGGTGGTAACACACACACATAAATCTCCGAATAGAATTTTATCGAATTTTTTTTACATTTCCATATCGATTTCGTACATCTCCTCAATTTTCCTCTATTTTCGAGTCACAAACGATAGCAAACGCCTTCGAAACGCTTAAATTGTAAAACGTACCCTCTCATGGATTCTCTCGTTCATTGTCGGCTTCCTCTTCTCAGCTCTCTTGACATTGAGAATCCTGACGAGGGGTTTGATGGTGATTCCCTAAAAATAAGAGCGTGAACGTTATAAGCATGGTTGTCATCGCGACCGTTGCTGACACGAACCGGATTATCGGTTGGCGCCAAGCGGAGAAAAATGGCTGATAGAATGCTCCACGCAAAAGTGTATGCTCAAGTGTGTGCGGCATAGAGATATTAGGTTTCCGATCGATCGCGCAACAAAGACACACTTGCATAGAACGAGTTTTTTTCTGTTTTTTTTTGCGGCTTTTTTTTATCAGACTCTTGCCGCTCATTAATCGTCGATTAAACGGACGATCGATTTAGCGGCGGAGCCGCGATCCCTTTTCTTTTTCTCTTCGCGTTCTCCACTCCAAAAATAAAATAATCTCTCATCGGAGAGAAACGGTCTTCGGTATGCACGCGTCCTACCTTTGGTCGCGTCTCAAAATACGCACGAGTCATCTGTTCCGAGGAAGATAGTCCGTTGACTGGGTCCATCCGGTTTATTCGAGTAAAGTCTATATTTTGCACTTCATGGAGAAAGACGTATATCGTTATGCAACGACAGTTTGCATCGACTTTCGTAATAGTCTATCGATTTGTCGGTCACGCATCAAATGCAATCTTATGCGACCATAATCTCACCTGAATAAACACGGTGAAATAGATGACGGCGATAGTGGTGGTGACGAACATGGGCTGTAGGGATACGTGTTTGGGATCTATGAGAAGCACTAAAGCGAATGCCACGGCGCCGCGTAAGCCGCCATAGGACATCACAAACTTCTCCACTTTGTCCAATTTGTGCAACCGAAACTGGTTTGCCAGCGCCGTGAGCACTATCACGCCTGAAACACATGAGGTCAAGCATGATTATATAGCATGATATATGTATTACAATTGTAATACATGTCCCAAAAATGTGTAATATTATTCGATACAACTCAGGATAACTAAAAAATTTTTTTAAAAGGATATATATATTTTTTTATTGATTTTTTTTATTATATTTTTAAATTTATATATTTCTGATTTTATAAAGTAGTCCACGTTTAACTCGATGCGTAAGATGCCAACCTATTATATCTAATGAAACGTTTAACAGAATAAACACGTGGCGTTTCGGGTTCGCCCCTATTACAAACTTTCCACACGATCAAGCGACGAATTGTCCGGTTAATAGAAGAAGCCATAAGTGAAGCGCGTCGCACGCGCTAATACGCGTGACGTAAGATGTGTGTCCAGTGCTCGTGTAACCAGGAGTCAATTGTCTTAAGTCCCATTATGATTTCATCGTTTAATCACATCGTCGTTTCGCTCGCTGGCAAAGCGATGCCCTTAACGCCCGTCCAGCTCCCGGTCAAGGCCCACGCGATCGTGTAAGAATTCTTCGATACGAATACTATTTTTATCACGCTACTTTTTCCTTATTTCTTATCTTGTAAGTTTGTTTCAACTCTTTTCCATGCTTATAGTTTTGCACGTTGAAATTATTATTATTAGAAAAAAAAAATTAATAAAATGAAAGCACATACACACATATACACACTGTATACAGAAAGTGAGAGCTTTTATTATTCATTAATTTAAAAAATAATTTACTCTTTCCAAGTTTAAATTTAAATAATCTTTTTATCTTCGTATGTCCTTTTTGTGATTAAAAGTAACTATTTTTTTATCAAGTAATTGGTTCTCCATTTAAAAATATTTGAAAGTTTTATCTATATATTTTATTTATGCACGCATGATTATATCATAAAAGAAAATTTGTAGTTAGAATAAAAAAAAAACAAAAAAGCAAATATGTAAATTTTTATACAAGAAAACATGTAATTCAAAAACAATTAATTACTTCTACAATTAAAAATTTAAAGTAATTTTTTTGGATATTCCATAATAGCTATTTATAAGAATAAGAATTTAGAGAGTACAAGTTGTAAAGAGGAATTTTCTAAAATTAAAAAATCTAATTTTTACTTGCCCACAACTCGATAAATGGAGCAGAAGAGTATCGTCATGACGATGAACCATGTGTTCCAGTTGTGAGTATTGTTCACTGTGGCGACACCAAGGAACATGAAAATGATTGTCTCTGAGCTACTCGACAGCATCTTCATTGTATACTTGACTGTCGTATGGGACTTGTGTGATATATTGGCCTCGACATAATTTTTCATAGTAATGCCGCAGAAGGTTATTCTGGAATAAAAGAATCGCGAGATGTAAGATGAATAGCATGACAGTCATTGTTACTTCGATAATTTTTAAAGACTACAAACGGCAATCTCATCTGAAACGCGAGCTATTATGACAAATGAAGCATACTATTTAAGACGTTCTATTTAATGCTGTTTCATTTAATATCTTCTTTACGGCAAGTCTGTAGTGCATTTATTTCAATTCTTTTTGATTCGTGTACTAGTACATTATCGAGATTCATTGTGAATTGTCATGATTAATAATATTTTTCGAATCACGATAAAGACATATGATTGATTGATATGATTGATAAAGACATATGATTTTCATTTAATTTTGCAACATTGAAATTATTTCTCGAGGCTGGAGATACTAATCAAATCGAAGCCGATTATTTACTTACGCCAATATACCGGATAAGTGGAAGATCTCCGCGCTGAGGTAAGCCAAGTACGCCATCACGAATATGAAGATCGGCTCAATCACGCGCACTTGATAAGTAAATCTGGTCACGAAGCCCGTAGCGAAACCCCAAACTATACCTATGAATACCCCGCCGATCGCCACCACCAAGAACGAGGCTAAACCCGCTAGCACATCCGTGTAAATAATCCTGGAAGGGCCCATCTCGCTGTACGTCTCGAACATGTGATAGAGCACCTGCGTATCCGTATTAAATGGCATTTTACTTAAAGTTGTCGCAATAACCTTTGACACTTTCCTTTGCTCGTTTCACATACACAGCACGAATCTAATGGATCGTTAGCGGATCGTTAGCGACCGTTAACAACCTTTTTCACATTCTTACTCTTTCTCACTCTCCGACCTGGCTCCAATTATCGCAAAAAAAATAAAACTGGTTTCAAACGACCAATTAATGACCCCGGATTACGAAAACAAATTATAAATGAATGACAATAAGAGTGATATATTGATTTTATTTATTTACGGAATGTTCAATCTCGCTATGTAACAAATAAAATTCGAGCAAGTGAATGAAATTCCCGTAGTCGATATAATTTGCGCAGTTATTTTTTGTTAAACGATACGAAAATGTATTTTTTGAAAATTAATTGCCCGAGAACGATATTAATAACCGTCGAGGCGCCTGTGTATTTAATAAAGTCGTCACAATGACCGTGTTTACAAGAGGCGTTCGCATTATATCGTTTTGTTTTATTTAAGCGAAACATCACAGATCGTAAATCGTATGTTTCACGAGCAAATACGATATTAATTTTTAAGCAAGGCGAAGGTATTTGGTACTTAACTCACGCTTATGGACAATGTGATCGATATTATATTGATCGCTCGCTGACGAGTCGCTTGTCGTTTCACGAAATCAAGTAAACTTTACTATTCTATCTTCATCTACGTATCAGATATTTTAATGCGAGGGGTGACAGAAAAATATTAATCTACGTCAGTTTCAGGGTCAATCCTAAACGCGGATGTGAAAAGCAAGAAATTGGGTCATACATAAAATGATATCAAGTATATTGATCATATCTTTCCTCTCTTGTCACGTATTATTGATTATTTGTATTCGCCATAGTTCGCGCAATTATTAAAATATTTAAAAATTAATCTTTTTGCTATAGTAGATAGAAATACATGCTTCACCTCTTTTACTCTTCTGCGCGTATTCAATTTAATTGTTTTACTTTACGTTTATAAAATTTTTTGATATTTTCGCGTTAGAAATATTTTTATCAATTATATATGATTATTCTATGTTTCAAAAGAAGAAGGATATAGATATTTTCTTCCATTTTCCTTCTGATTTATTACATGTAACACAAAGATCTTCGCGAACAACACGCGCGACCAAAGTTGATCGGTTTTAATCTTCATCTTTCGGACTTTTAACAGTTCACGACAAGAAAAAAAAACAAAGATTCCTGTAGATTCATTGTGCTACCTACGTAGCAAATTCCTTGGCATACACAGGATCATGCAATATAAATATATAATATAATACTCACGACAGTGACAGCATCGTTCAATAAACTTTCTCCGAATACGACGATGTAAAGTATCTCATTTACATGGATCTCCTCGAAGACTGCCAACACTGCTACGGGATCGACGGCGCTGATCAACGCCGAGAATAGAAACATGTCGAGAATAGGCGTTTCACAGCCAAACATGCCACTTTTGCCCAATAACCATAGTGACGCACCTAAGGTAGATATAGCGGTTTGTTTAATAAGAACACGCATCTGATATTTGATATTCTTATCAAACCAAAACTAATTATCCTGTCGTCGAATTATCGTTCTTAATTCAAATTCAGTATATCCGAATAAATTGTCAATTTAGCGAGATTATTATTATCCTATCGATCCGTAAAGTCGTTGAACGCTACCACGATATGAGAGAAAAAGAGAAAGAGAGAGAGAGATTAAAGTTGCCAAAGATAGAAATTTGCATTATCGAATACACCGCCTCGCCCACGCGTTATCGTACTTATCAAGGCTCTCTTTTTTCCTCTCAGCTAAGATATTAAGTCCTCTTACGATGATTATGGTGTAGTTTTTAATCTGCTTTGATCATGTACATTAATTGAGACCGCAATTTCGTATTATCGATCGCCGTTATTGTTGTGCTTACCCCGAGTTATTTCTACTTCTAGAAGTTGTGCACGACACGTTTCTAGAAAGGTAAGAAATTTTTATTTCCGTCGCACTTTTTCATTTATTAATTCGGTTAAAATCACTAGGATCTATCGCGATAATTAACAATACACGTTGTTCAAAATAACTAAGTCTTAATATGACACTTTCGCGATTTTTTTTATCCTTTTATCTTGTTTTATGTACTTTCAAAAATCATGGAAATTTCATCTTCTGATCGAGAAATTTATGTTTATATTTGAATATTCATTTCTATATTAATTAAGATTATAAGCAGTTATAATTTCGATATTTGGCAGAATTTTGGCAGAATTTTGGTATTAGTTTTTTATGAAAACCTAATAAAAAAACAATTAAATCGCAATTAATTCCAACTATTATGCCACGTTTCTCTGCTGTGTTTATTAAGTAAAATCTAATTATTCGAAATATGAATTGAGAAATAATTCAAAACTTAATATTAATTAAAGCCATAAGAGCTGAAAACGAAAATGTTTTTCTCGCGGAAAAAGTTTATAATATTTATTTACGCAAAAAAGTGGTGCAAAAAAGAGTGACTTTTGCATTCATAATTTAAATTTCGTAAATAATCGTATAAATAGTTTTCATTTATTTTTTTATTATTAATCTTGATTAGTCTTGGCGTCTCTTATAATAAAAAATAACTGTCTGAAAGGTATGACGCTGACAATCTCTTTATACGAAGTCTTCAATCCTAATCGATTATAATACCCGTCTTTTACGCCCGTCACATCTGCTGCTCTTAACGAGATTTTATCGAATGCTAAATTTTGATTCATATTTTATCAAACATCGCATCAAAATTTTCTCCTTTTTTATCGCATCAATAATTTCGCTCGACATTATTATAGAATCACCATCGAAACAATCGCGCTATCATTATGATAATAGTTATCACCAGGATATGATAGTCGCGATATAGACGCGAATAACGCATATGTTCCCGCGCGTCATCGCGACGTTTCATTCGACGTATGCGCTATTTTCGTTCGCGTTTTCTTAATCTGCGTTTCCTCCGCGTTCGCAGGTCAAACATCTGCACGAATAAATCGCGAGAGAAACGAAAAATGAAAATTCCATCGATTTATTTCTCGCGTATGCATAAATTAACTTTTATGAATTTTGATATATTTAATTTTATGATCATTTCTATTATTACCTAAAGTCACAAAAGCATTGGTAATTTTGTATATGGATTGTAAGTTAAATTTAGATCTGATTCTTTTCTTTATAGATCTATTTCTTGCATAAATTTTGAAGTATATATATTTGAATTTCTATAATTATTAAATCTATTTTCAGTTAATTGTTAATAATGTTCTCATACATGAGCTGTCATAATTCTCTAATAGTACCAACGTTTATATTTCATGGCATTTTATGCCCGAGATCACATACTCAGTTTTGTCCCCTGAGGTCCTAGATAGGTGGTTATCTATGTTTCTGAATCAACGTACGTGGGCGAGGCGAAATCGCATCCGAGTTAAAAGGAATGGCTTGCGTCGAGGGAAAAGAAAAAATTTTAGTCGAAAATTTGCATGGATTGCACGCGCCGACCGTGTGGTCATCGCTTTACCGACCTATCGACATCGTATTAAATATAGTCCCAAGGACGGCGAACAGCAGTATCGTTCCGAGATGGTCGAAGAACAGCCGATTGGGCATGAAGTAGCCGGCGTCTAGGATGATGGGCGGCAGCATGTACAAGAAGAACGTGTCAGGGGTCAGCGGCGACACGTGGACGCTGCTCGCCTGGAACAGCAGGAGGCCGACGATTACGCCGACGGTGATCAGCAAGCAGGACTCCGGGAAGATCTTGCTGAACTTCGGCGCCATGTGGAAGCCTGAACGTCGAACGTCGTGTCGCGTTAAATGTCACATTTTTGTTATTCAAGAGAAAACGGCGATCGAAAATCAGAGTCTCAGGGTTCAGGAATTTCGATGCTGCAGAAACGTAAGAATGACCTCCAGCCGTGTTTACAGCATCGGAAATTTAACTCACCAAGGGACCTCGATCTCGATCTCCGTTAAAAATGATTGCGACAGATATGCGCTACCGTAGCAAAGATTCCAGGTGCAACATGTCGCGTGAGTGCTTTGTAATTTTTTATACTCGGCACGATACTTCGTAGTGGCCCGTTCACGTGCAACCGCATCATGCTATATCGCACAACAATACTCGCCATTTGAAAACGGACATTTTATATACATTGCTTAATGAAAAAAATACATATATATATATATACATATATATTTATATATATACATATGTATATATATATATATATTTTTTTGTGTGGAATGTTCGTTTCGATCGTGTGTCATCCAAATATAATAAATGAGCCATGAATGAAACAGCAGTATAAGCTACGCTGATTCATTGCGGAAAACAAGAAAAACACTCAGTTCATTTTCACTTTATATGGTAGGAAATATTTCTGTAACAGGAACAAAATCTGAAAATTTCATCCTTAAAATAGAATAAATATATAGGGTCGTGTTTTATTCTTAAGTTCACGCTTTTACTTGAAATTCTTTTACCGTTATTCGCTATCAAACGACAGAAATATCAGCGATATAGATTGTTTTTTTTTTTTTTCATTTCAACCATGTCTCATGCTTACGTGCTTTACGCGTGCATCGACACGAAATTGCATGGATCGTAGAGAAAAATTGTATTCATCGTGTACCATATCGCTCGAACGAGTATCCGGTAAATATGGAATAGTTATATTCGAGTTAGTTCGGCCATGGTGTGTTAGACAAGGATGAAGTCACGCGTCACAAGATATTTTATTCTCAAATTTTTCGATACGCTAAAATTACATCTTTATTCATTGCAAAATGCAAAAAATCGTAATCTCTCCATCGAGCAATTTCTCAAGAGCTTGCAGGCAAACTCGTTATATATTCCGCTGATTTATATAAAATAGATCACAGATCAAATGTGTTGAAATGCAAATTTTCAGCCATATTTTCGATACAATGAGAACTCTTTGTTCGCATGTCGCGCAAATATTCATGTATATTAAATTATTAAAAATGAATTTCATTGCAGCAAAAAAAATGTAATGAGCCTTGCATAACGTAACGAGTATTGCAACTAGGTTTTCAATGACATTTGCCACGTTTTTGTTACGTAAGCAAATGGAAAAATATGATGCGCGCTAATATATTCACATGGAAAAGCATCGCTGTAAAAATTGGCATTGGTCTGATATGCACAAGCGGACAATAAAAGTGTGGCAGATGTGTTTTTGATTATAATGAATGCAAAACATGTTTACAATGACAATTTTCAAATAATACATTTTCTACTGTGATATTTAAAATTACGTATATTACATTGTCTAGTTAACTGATGTTTTTAATTTTAGCGCATATTGAAAATACGAATTAAAAAAATTTAATTATATAAGAATGGCCTAAGAGTTATAATTAAAAGCGATATTTTTATTCCTTTTAGTTATTTTTATATTATACTTTATTGAAGATTGATAGAAATCATTATATTTATAAGAAACAATGGTATTTGATTTAAAAAAATTTTTGACACTCATAAAGAGTAAAGATTTCTTAATGATAAGTATATTGATAAGTGTATTGATGTTCACAAATGTTTCGAGAGAAAATACATAACGTGAAATGTTGGTTTCTTCGATCACATATCGACTTTTTATTTAAGAATTTATTTGATCGATCAGAAATGTTTACCGCAAATGTCATATCTGTATGTCTGTCGTTACCTACAATAAGCTCGCTCTCAAATATCGAAAGGCTTGTTGTTTACGTCGAAACGGCATGTCCCAAAAAGACCAACGTCTCACGCCTACACGTATCTTTTCCCGATCATATCATCTGAAGAAAATAAGAAAATAAATCTCGCCCATCTCTCACGCGAAGCTCGCCGACACTTACCGATTTTCGCGAGACTCGCGAAGAAGATCCATATCCCGATGACGAACGGCGTCTCGACGCGCGGAAATTCGACGCTGATAATGTGGTACTCGGGCTTCGGCGACTGCTCAACGCCTTGATCCAAGGAAGAGGCACCGGAGGGAGCGGCGAGCTGCTGCGAGCCCTCAGGATGTTGCGCGGCGTCGCTGCCCGACGAGAGGCTGCGCAGGGTGGGCTCGTTCACCGAGCGGGGGACCGGGCCCATGGGTCCGAAGTCCATGCCGGGATACGTGCCGTAGAGGTCGCCGGAAAATTCGGCGGTGTCGATCTGCGGCCCGTGCGGCGCGGCATCCTTCTCCGCCGGGATTCGCTCCGCGGCTCCGTACTCGTGGAAGCGAGCAAGCGCGGTGCGGCCGCATCCCGGACAGCAGAGCACGGCGACGAGGAGCACGGGAATGATCATCGCGGCGAGGCCCATGTCGCCTGCCTCGACGAGTCGACGGATCGACGACGACGACGACGGTGCTCCTGTTGTGGACGCCTGTCCGCGCCGTCGTCCGCGTTCGTCCGTCGCCGGTGAGTCACTACTGCCGCTCGCTGTACCATCAGAAGGGAACCACCGGGAGTACACGACGAGCACACGCTCGCGCGTTATACGTTACGACTCCCCCCGCGACTGGCTCCCCTAATCTCACCGCGTAGCGGAGCGGACAGGGGCGGTTTACCTTCGATGAGCTCGCTACCCTCCGAGGGCGATCACACACATACGCGCCCCGCCACCCAACGCCACGTCCCGCGCGTGTCCCCGCAGCGTGATCGTTTCCTGGGTCACGCTATACGGCACGTTGATCCGCTTCGAGTGGAGAAATTTTCTCTCTTCCTTTCCTCGGACAATTTCCCGGGTCTTTGGAAAAGACCTTCCTTCTATTCTTTTCTCTCCTTCAAAAGCTAATGCAGTCTTCGTAACACGCGAGGATATAATGTTTTAGGGAACAACGAAGCTAAATCATTTCATTGCGATCGCTCCGGCGATCGAGTACGGACTGAAGCCAAAACAAACGACAATAACAAATCGCGGCCGTAAATCATTAAAACGTCAAATCCAATAATTAAACGTGACTCACACTGCTTCGGCGCCAAGAAACACCGCGCGCTACGATGACAGCTGGCGCTCCATGTTCCTCGATGCGCGAAAAAGCATCGAAAGAACGGCGTCGACGGAGCGTCGTCGATCACTAACGTCGGGGATACTCGCACCTGGTCCGAGACTGAATGAAGACTCGGCCGCGATCGCGATTACAGGAGCCAAGAGCAGCCGTCTCTTGGCTCGGAATCTTGGACCGTCCTCACGATTGCTTCGGCATGTGCGAGCGAATGTAAACTAACATAGCTTCGATGCCTCGTGTGACGCGATTGCGACCGATCGGACGACACGTCGCGTCTCCGAAGCGACGAGGAAACGATGGTCAGGTGCTCGTCGCTCTCGAGCGACGCTGCACGTCTTACGCGCCGCTCGCGAATAACGGCGACGTTCTCAAGTCTTGACGGCGGGCTCGCCCGGCGGCGAGCGCGAGGCTGATCGACGCGCGGCCGCGACGGCCCGAAGACGACGACGTGGTGGAGGAACAGGAAGAAGCGTGACGACGATAACGCCAACGTATCGCATTATGATAAAGTACGAGCGAACGGCTCATCGAACCGAACGTATAAACGTCGCACCTTCGCCGGTGTCTCTATCGACCGGTCGACGCACAGCAGCACCGCACGGCCGCGTACTGAGGTGGCGTGGGGCGATAGCGACGGCGACGACGCCGATAACGCCGAGCGTTCCATTACGGGAAGGCGCGCTGCCGAAAACGCGCGTTGGCGCCGTCGCCCCCGTCCTCGTCGCCCTCGTCGTCGACGAGGCGGCGATAAATATACCGGGTGACGGTGGATATAGGGCTCGATTCGCCTTCTCCCCTGTCTCGCTCTCCAACTACCCTCGTCTCTTTTCCCCGAGGTAAGCTTCTCTCGGTCGATCCCACCCGATAGAAGCTTCCAACCAGCTGATCGTCGATGAAACTCGCGCAAGCGTCGCGACGCCCCGATATAGCTACCCTAGACGGCAGCGGCGCCGAGAGCGCCCGCACGTTTCGCGCCGCGACGCTCGCCAAGCTACGCCGATGTGCACTCCTCTCCGGAGAAGTTTTTCTGCCAGGAATACACCGCGACGCGTTACTACGCGGCTTGTTTGCGGTCGGGATTTACAGACCGTATCGCTGTTCTAAGGTTTTACCGGCGTCGTAGCGCAAACACCATCATGCGCGTCGCGCGCGGAACATTTTCTCGTACGAGAAGGAAACTCGTGGCTGAAGGGACGAAGACACGCTTGCTCCGGGGATGTTTTTTCCTGATGACGCGCAGACGTTTCGCTTTACGAGGCGTCACCTTGCCTGGCGTCTAACGGTCGCTAGCGAAGCCCTGACTGACGCCGACCTTAAAGTCAAGACCAGAGTCACGTCGCTGTCGTCTGGTGTCTCGGAGACACCACCGCTCTGACCCTGACCTTGCCCGGCATCGCTCGATGCCGCTCGTGGATCCGCTTCGCGGTCGGCTCGGGGATTTCGGCTCGAAAAAGCCGTTGTTTGACATGAGATGTCACGCGCGTATTATCACGGCGACACACGGACGCGGATGGTGAGAGGGAACTCTTAGGCCTGGTAATTAATATATGACGCCGATCCGCGACGAATTTAATTGAGATTGCGTTTTCTTTGCGTAAGGCGCGACGAGAATTCATAAATCGCGCGATAGGAAATACGGTTGGAGATAAGGATTTATTGCGCGGCTTATTTGCATAAGAAAAAGAATTATCAGGGCGTCCTCTCTCCCTCTCTCTCACTCTCTTTGTGTCTTTCTACGTTTGACAAATTATTCCCGGCAGGAAAGGCGTCCGCTATTTGCAAAACGATAGAGACGCACGACTTACGGCCGCATTTTTCCCTAGCTGCTTTTCTGTCGCCCTTATCTTTATACGTACTTCTCGACAACCGTCTGGCGTTTATCAAGATCTAACGGCTTAACGGTAACCCCTCGTACGAGTGCAAATCCACTTGGATGTAAAAATCGCTAGCTCGAGTACTGCATTTGAGAACGCTAACGCGCATTTGACATATCGAGAGTTTTTCTATTATTTCATCTTCTCTAGTAGATGATTAATTAAACAACTTGCTTTCTATTAAATTGACTGTTCCAAGAGTCATTGTGTTCATCGTCGACGAATCTGTTTGCTTAATAAAAGTAGTTACTCGGCCGGAAAGCACAATTCTATTTGATTACGCTGTTGCTTGTATATGCCAGCACACGAGAAATCGCTTATTTGTATAACGATAAAGTACAATTAGCTATAGAACGATAAGAAACGATTTGCTCGTCCTTGTGGGCTTTCGTGCATACCGTATGCGATGAAGTAATTCGCAGCTGTTTGATTTAGTGCACCATTATCGCGCTATCCGATGGAAAAATCGGGACGAGACGATAAAAGTAACGCTCGAAAAATGGTTTTATCTTTGTTCTCCATTCTTATGCGCGGTAATTCTTCGTCACTGTCACTATTCCCATTAATGGCGACAAATTAAAAAAATAGGTCAACTTCTCCTTTACAAATATTTTATGCGAGATTCTTATTTCGTAGTTTAATGACCAAGTTTCTCTTCCTCTGACATTAATTAAAATTATTATTTTACATTCTATTTAATTCGTCAAGTTATTATTAACTTGATATGTTGAATTATTTCATAATTTTTTGCTATACAACATGTAAAGATGGTCATATAGAACAAGTAAAAGTAATAAGTTCTCATCAAATTTTATTCAAGATATTTATTTTTAAAGTTAAAATTTGAAAGTTTTTCTTAAGTAACTTTCATATCACTCTATAGATTTTAATAATTTGTAGTAATTATTTTTCATGTTAGTAAAGATCTTTAAAATGGCATGATAGATTTCTTGAGAGGGACTCCAGGAGAGTCAGGGTACTAATTGGAGAGCTAGGGATGGATCACCTATAAATCTTCTAATTTACTTTAAAGCCAGTAGATTTCCTTTATTTTTCAAAAAAGGTTTCTAGATTCTTCATATCTTTTTTTGAAAAAAGAGTATTTGTATTTTATTTCATCTGTTTTTGAAAAAGATACATTTGATCGATAGAAAATAAAAATAATGATGGTGGTGAAGGTTGAAAAATATTTTATAAGAATTTCTAGTATTATTTTTACCCTATATTTTTACCCTATATGCTTTATCGATACACCTTATATATCACCTCTTCAAATTTGTCGCAAAATCTATCTTTAATAAAAGTAGCGGTGGATATCGTAGCCTACAAACTCATTTTCCTTCCGCCTCTCGTCGCTCTCGCTAACTCGTTCGTGCCTAGCGAGTATCGATTTTATATTTTATGCCACGTGTAACCTTGGATTGGTCGCATTTTTCATTCTTGTAACAAGCGTAATCATGAAATTATTTCCGCGTCAATACCAAGTGAAAGTACGAACGAAACGATGAATACGAAGATGAGATGAAATTTAACAGATTATTCTCCTCGTCGGCGCGATTTCGCGTGCACGAATATCATTGATACCACATTTCGGTAATTATACGAAATCTATAATTCCGCGGTCATTAATATTCCTGACGGATAAGCGGTCAAATGGTATTTTAATGAAGGAGGCAACATTGATCCAAGTCGTATCGACGAGACGCTACCCGGATTTCGAATTCACCCTTCCTGGTGTTGCCGACCGCGTGACGATTCTACGCAGTATTACCGCGGCTTATCCTGAAATTAGCCTGCTGGATATCATTCCCGGGCGACGTTAAACCTACCTACGTACGGATAGAGTCGGGCTGCGCGAGTAAGGCAAGGGTTCGCAAACAACCCTGTAGGGAACGACGCTTGTTGCGACCGGGCACGCAATCGTACCGTACAACATTTCCCGTGCTCCATAATTTAAAGGGCATTCTGGACTCGACGGCGACGTATACGACACATACACATAACCGTGAATTACGACCGCCGTAGACTTTTAATCAGATCGGGCTTGGGGTGCATATACATATTAACAATGAATTTCTCAGTGATCATTGTATGTTGTACGCGCGGCTAGGATTTACAACTCAAGATATTATTGCTCCCGAAACAGATATTTGCTTGCAAATGGTATCGCGCAAGTAAAATAACAATAGACGTATCCGCGTAAACCCATATATACGTCCGCAATTTCTCTTTTGCATGTATAAGTTGAATCTCAATTATATAACACGAGTTATATTGCAGCTATATATTTATATTACATAACATAAAAGATTACGTAATCAAAATATAAAGAGTTTAACGTATTCTTGTAGTACGAGAGATTTTTCATTTTAAAACTTAAATATGTATTGACAAATGTCAATATATATTCTCTGCAGCTTTATGTGAATACAAGATATGAATGCAAAATATATAGATAAACGTAACTTTTCCAATCGGATGTAAAGCCGTAAAATCCATTAAATTGATCACATTTTTGAGAGAATTAATTCGGGGTATATTCAGCTCTACGCGGGATATATCGCTGATAGTTTTTCAGCGATCAGCGCTTTCCGCTCCAATATTCTCTAATACTCTCGAAGAGATAACGTGCGAGATTTAATGAAGTCGCGAATTATTTTGCTCACCTTATTTCTTGCCTCTATTACCGGTAAGATTGAATAGTGGGGGAGAGAGTTTATGCGTCCCCCGACGCGGATGAGCTTCTACGTTATTTAGAGGGTGTGTCGCGCAAAACTATGCTCGTGCATCGCTCGATGATTCGAAAGAGGTAACGACGTTCGCTCGGCTCGGTCAACGTTGCGTTAACTGCGAAGCCGCTTCGTCACCCCGTCGCTTTCCACCCCCGCGTCTTCCCCAATGTGAAAGGCAACGAGACGAGGGTGAACGAGGGTTCCACGCGACGAGGGTGGCGTAGAGAGAAATGTGTGGCGAGACGCGGGAGAAGAGAGAGCAGAGGAGCGCTGAAAGTAACGATATTCTTACGGAGCAAAGTCGTGGCTCGAAACTGTCGGCATCGTCGAAACGATCGACGACGCGTCGCAAAATTCTCGTTTATCGGCGACGCCCTTTTGTCGACGAGTGATGGTGAACGTTCGAACGACAACTCATTGCATATTAATGTATGAACGCTATTTATATAATCGCAATGGTTGTTGGGATAAATAGAAAATGCGCAGACATAGACGAATATCTTCTATTTATATGTACAAGGAAGGATTCAAGTTCGTTAACTCATCGCGATTCTTCCCTAGGATTATTCATGACGTTCCCGACAAAATTGAATGGATGATGAGAACGTTATATATCCTCCGAGTATATCAGCGTTAGAGCTTGTTAAGGCATTTTTAGGATAAGGAGAAAATTCGTTTTACAGTATTTGACACGCGACATTTTCGTAACTTGTCAAGCAAACTGGCGTGATTAAATTGGCGCTTTTTTGCTTCTCTTCTTAAAAAAGGAAATTGAATTGAAATGATTGTAACAATGAATCGGCCGGATCGATCGCATCGCGATTCTACGATAAATTCACGGTTCGCTACGTGCAAGTCTGTCGGATAATTTGCGGCAAATTCTCGAATGAATGGTAATTAAGATGTTAAACAAACGCCGAATGTGCACTGCCGATGGATTATTAATTAGCCTACTATTCATTCGCACGATCGCGTCCCTATGAATTCAAAATGAGATCACGTTGCCTCTCTTGCCGTAATCATTATCCGCCCGGCTGTATCATAATCCCATGGTGTGCCGGATTCGATCGCGTTGATAGGTGCAAAGATAACGCTGCTGATTGAAACGAAGGAAAAAAATTGACAGTGGCTTGCCAACTTTTTCTCTCGCGATTAACAAGTTTTACTCATTCTCATTTTCGACGAGATTTCCTTCACGGTCCGTCGTACAATCAGATGCATTTCACCGTGAACGACCTCTTGCCTCGGAGCTGAAACGCACCATCGATCTTCCCGCGTCCTCACCAGAGACCTTTCAGGTTTATTGCAGCGTAAATAGGACCTACGAAAGGATCATTTACTCGCGCACACCGCCAAAGGAGCGACGTATATTCACTCTCGCTCTTGCATTCGCGGTGCGTGTTGGCGCGATTTACTTACGATGGAACATTTATCGCGCGGAAATTCACTAGCTTGGCGCATCACGGGTAATTCAATCAGAGGGACGATGGGTGAGCGTAATTAGTTTAAACGGAAACGCGGTACGTGTATGTGTGACAAGTGTCCGGCATGCATTTAAATTTCCCGATGTAAATGCGTCGTAACGGCACAAATATTCGTTTGTCGATGCCATTTAATGGACATGCAGCTACGCGTAGATGCAATAATGATTAAAGTTATTTATATTCCTAACGAGGAGTCGGAGTCTAAATTGGGACGTGGCGTAGAGTGACGAGGATTTACGGTCGGCTTGATTCCGCGGAGAACGCGGATGACGAGTGACAAAGCTGATAAAAATGCACCCGAGACGGTTTTAAAGTTTCGAAGATTATTATTTCGTTTTAATTTGCCATAATTGGACACGCGAAAACTGCGGCGGACGAATTCGTTTTAATTAAAATTTTGCTATTGATCTCGAAAGGAGGGACTGGATTACGTATTACGTAAGCATTGAGAGTCGAACAATCCTTTCGGGAAGTTACTTGAGATTGCGAATCTGTTCGGTTACTGCGAGTTACGTCTTTCTATCGATGACGTCATATAATCGATGCACAAACACACGTTTCACGTTCAATGTATTTACGCAATCGTGTTACTGCGATACGCGACCCTGTTCATTCTACTTTCTTGTATTACATCGAGGTGGGCGGCAACGATAAATAATCGAGCATATCCGTACTCCTCTCGTGTATGATACTCTTCATGTAAGTTATGTGCGCACATTTTTCTGGCGGATAAAAACTGAACAATATCTATGCTGCCGACAAGTCGCGTTCATTGTGTTACAGCGTTACGTTTTAACTGCTGCACTAGAAAGAACAGGACAGGACAATATTTTTATATCCTGGATTGATCGTTTCTTTTATTTTAACTTTTATTTATAGATATCTCTTTCTTATATCTTTATTAAAATAAAAGCAGTTTTATACACATCACATACACAGTCTCACGTATAGATAAATCTATGTAAGTCCAAATATAAATATCTAAAAAAATAATTAGGTTGAATCGAAATGCGTGTAAAAAATAATTTAATTACAATTATGTACATAAAAATTAATCGCAAATTATTTATCGAGATAAAGAGGAAAGAGGGACGGAGTATACAAACTCTGTCTCTAAACAAGAAACAGAGCGGTCTCTTTGCTCAAATAGATACTTGAATAAAATGCAGCGATACAGAACAGCCAGACCTGCAAATAGACAAACGGATAGGTTGGTCTGATAGAATATCGATAGCGGCATCTCTCGAAAAAGGACGAAGGAAATACATCGCGCGCTACAAGACCGCCCGCCACGTAAGCAAGAGCGCGTTTATCCTGCAAATGCATACATCTACACAGGCGAAAAAGGGGAATGATGCGGGGGGCGTTAGCGGAAGAGGGAGGAACTGGCCTATCGAAGGGGGAGGCCGGCTCGTGGTTGTTCGGAATCTATCGGTGGACCAGATTTTACTCGTACGTACGCACATTCACCCCCGTCGGGGGTGCGTGTCCCTTTGTATGTGTATATGAGTATACATATATATACATATACATATATATATATATATATATATATATATATACATATGTATATGTGTGCGTGTGTGTACGTTTTCGTCTGATACTGAGACACGTTCACATATGCGGGGGCGCAAGCGCGGTTTCGCACGGTTGTGTTCGCGCACTCGCGACGCGCGCGTCGTCGTCTCCGCGCCGTCGTCGTTTCGCGAGGAAATTGATTCTGCGCGAAACGCAACGGGGGGTTCCAGCGGCAGCGGAGCCAGCCGTGCAACCACCAGAAAGAAGCCGGGCTCGGCGGATCGCGCATATCTCTATCCGGATATTATTCGCGTAACGCACAGTCGACGACCCGAATACATCCGGCGTGTTATGTAAGGGAGATGTCATCGTCTTTAACGTCGCTCTCCTCTCACGCTACGCTCGCACACGTCATGCTGGCTGCTGCCGAAGAGCTGCACGGATAGGAACGCGGAGAAAGCGAGAGGGACAGAGAGAGAAGCCGCGCGGAGAGGTGCCTCTCCGACGACATGCGAAGAGACGCGTTCGATGCGACGACGATAGACGACGAGCGAGGATCGCAGACAGACCTAGTCAGACACGTCGACGAAGACGACCGACAAGAGCATCCATGGAACTGAAACTCCTGCTGTGGATTCACATCGTGGGTAAGTTTCGACCTTCTTGCAACGTCGACGCGCGCCCCTTGCGTCGTGACATCATCCCGCATCCCTTACGCGTACACTCGCGCACACGCGTCGTTTCTCCGCACGCGTGTAACACACGGAATCTCCTTCATCACGCCCGGCAATGTTGCGGTTCTGTCGCTCTTGTCGATGACAGGCGAGCAACGCTTCCAGGAGGTTCCCTCCGGACGTTTCCGTGTCACAAAAATCGCGTGTCTCCTCGCTCTCGTTAGCTGCTTTACAGCATTCATCGTCTCGATAGACGATATTTCCGGTATAGATCCGTCCTTGCAGACGAAACGGATTGCTGCACCCGATGGCTATCGATGAATGGGTTGCACGTACAAAAGCCTTTCATTATTATCGAGATGCGAGCTGGACCATTATCGCGTGATCAATGACGCCTCAAGTTTCGAGTCACTGCAAAACATGAAAATAATTTAAACCGTGTACAAATACTTCATTCATAATATTTCATTCAAAAATGAAAATGCATTTAACTCATCACTGTATAAATTTGTGATTTATGTACGAAGCGTATAAATTTTACATGTCCTATATATATTCGATTTTTTGCGGTCAAATTGTTACTATGTTAAACTGCACAATAAATTTAGCATATTCAATCAGGATTAATAAAATTGCCGATAGGAAACGTCAATAAATTATTGCATTATTATATAAAGATCTTGGTTCTATGCCAAACTATAAGAAATTCGAGTCAAGAGAACGACTATTATTCCCATTATTATAATTTTGTTCCGTCGCGTCGTAAAATGCATACTCGAACGCTCCGGGTCACAGACATTTTTTTACGATATGTCAGGGAAACTTTCCTCATTACGGGCATTAGCATAAAGTACATGCATATATGATATGCGCAAGGATTGCGAAACGTCGTAAGTATGTATGTAGGTAACGCGATACGAACGATGTAGGGATGAATGTCGAGCGTTTGTCGGATTGTCGGGATTTCCCAGATCGCGAGATGGATTTCGTGTCTCAACGTATGAAATGCGAAGGGCGTTGCTTCGCGAAATGTAAAAACCTATTAACGGAGACACACGTCTCGGGATGAGAAAAGGATCCTTTTCGCGCGCGAGCGTTGAATCAGCGGGAGACCCGACAGCGGCGGACTCGAGGAACGTCGTCGGCGGGTCGTTGGCCGTTTGCCGTAAAACGTGCGGGCGTTCCCCGTAATGGGGCATTAACGAATTTAACGAATTCCCATCTCGACAGTATAATCGCATTAATGGCATTCCGACGAATGCGATTTTACGACACGCAGCGGAGAGCTTTCGCGCGGATGAATTCCGACGATCTGCCGCCGATCTTCTTTCTTTCGTCTTGATGTCTTTTTCCCTAACGTCAGCGAATATTCGATTGTCTTGAAACTTTGCGGATAATTCAATCTTCATTCGCGATTCCTCTTTGCTTGCAAATGAAAGCTTGCTTTTTCTAAAAATGTATATATATATTCATTACTTAATGTATTAGTCAATACATCATCATTATTGAAATTTTCACGAAGATTATTTTGAAATATATATATATATATATATATATATATATATATATATATTTCAAAATAATTAATAAATTTAAAATTTCAATAATGATGATGTATTGACTTATTTATTAAGTAATGAATCGATACATTAACGAACCAAAATTATCACGAAATCATTACTCTGATATTGGCAAAATCTGAAAAGCATGTACTGTATGCATTATATAATGAATTACAAATTGAAATCGGAGAATTATGAGTTTAATGCCAAAGATACGCGATAATAAAAGAGTGACGCCAAAAACAGCCTGTTTCGCCACCCTTAAAATCCGACTTGAATTTGGCGCAACGATAGTTATATATGACATTGATTTTCTGAAAGTTTCATATTGACGCACTCTTTATTTCCAAGATATGATGAAAGTCAAAGGTCGCATTGTGCATCAACGTCCTTATCAACTATACATATTTTCTCTATATTTTCTCGCCAATAATTATCACTCTCGATTACATCGTACATCCCGTAGTCACTTTCATGCAATCCACACTGGGCTACCTATGGGAATTAACGGATTAAGAGAGTATGACCCACACGCGCGCGCGTGCATGTAGGTAAGATCTTATTTTTCATGACATCATGATATCATGATATCATGACATCATGATATCATGATATCATGATCTTATTTTCTGCATGTAGATCTTATCGAAGCAGTAGATAAGGCAATTGACGCACAATGCGAACTTTGACCCATCATATCTTGGAAATAAAGAGTAGGCTCAATCTGAAACTTTCAGAGGATCAATGTCTTATATATAACTATCATTTAACACCAAATTCAAGTCGGATTTCAAGGGTGGAGAAACAGGCTATTTTTGGCCTGTTTTTGGCGTCACTCTTTAAAGTTTTTTTCTTCGTTATAAAATAAGTAGTGATTTTTTGTTTTTATAATTTCGACAATTTAATTCGCTGAAATAACAATTGTTATAAGTAATAACGATTGATAAAGGAGCTGATTGATAAAATACGTTCAACGTAATCGTTTATGTCATGAAAACCAACGCGTCTGACGTTAACAAACATCTCGCTTGAAAATGAGCACCGTACAAGTTCATCATTGAACGGATGCAAAATTCGATATTAAACGAGATATTTCTCACGTCAAATATTAGCGTGATATTTTTCTACCTGCGAAAAATCTGCTATAAAACGTAATGAAAAACGAATTACTTTTTTTTGCTCTTTCTTGAAAAAGTGATGAAACTTTACCGCTGTCTATACGTGTACCAAATACAGGACGCAGTGTGCGCAATTGTTTCGTTATTAACGTTATCTCGATTTATCGGTTGTTAAAAAAATCCGTAGAATTCGAATAACGTTGTTATTCGCAGAATCTCAAATCAAAGTACGAGATGACGCTCGTCGGTGATTTCGTTCGATCGTGCGATCCTATGCCGACACAAAAGATAAGCTCCCTATTGAGACTCACGGGAGTGCGAGACGTCGAAGCGATACGGGCCTCGTCAGTTTCTCTCCCTGCAAACGCGATTCGTCTCGCCGTCTCGCTCGATAACTAATTAAGCCGATCGCTCTACCAAACATCATATCCGTTTTGCGAATCCGTTCACGCGATTGTCCGATCGGGCGAAATCGCATTCATCGTGCGAGAGCAGTCCGTTAAACCGAGCGTATCGCCATTAGTGTAAGCGAATTAAGCTCGTTCTCGTATCGGCATAGAATATTCCGAATCAAGTCCCTCGAGCAGATTGATGCTATTTCACTTCACCATCGGATGAACAAAAATGATTGCGACTGTTTGCATATCCACTCTTCTTTTTGCCTCTCTTCCTTTTTCTACGAGGGAATATATAACGCCTTCCCCCCGCGAGAAAACTGTCGGGTGGGTGAACTCGACTCGTTAAGCGTTCCAGTCTTAATCGTCGTCGCCCAAGAGAACGGCTACGTCGTCGTGCGTGCTTATCTGTTTCTTTCGCACGACGGCACGTTCGTCACTTTCAGTCTCGACAGGACGATAGTAGCCTCGAGGGCGGACAGTCGCTTCGGTCTTCCCCTCCTCCCTCTTCGTCAGTCTTGTCGCAAATCTGCTTTTTATTAACGACTAACGACCGACCGCGCGAGAGACCGTTCTCGTGGTTTTGTAACTAAATACCCGTAAGCTCTCTTCGTAAAGTGCCTCTAAACGGGGAAGGGGGACATTACGCCGGGATCGTCACACCCTTTAATGCGCTGGGGCAATATTTCCCTACAACTTCCCCGAAACTTTCATCCAATCCGCGGAACTGCGAGTCGGATTATATCGATCCCGGGAAAAGAAATGTTAAGAGCTTTCCTCCGATGCGCGCGGAAAGTTCGCGTTGAAAATGTCGCGTTGAAATCGTTATTTATTACGTGTACTGCACATGAATCATTTACGCGGAAACTTTTTAATATCGCAGATTTCCTTTACATAAACAGAGAATCTCCAATTTAAGTTTAACCATGTTGTTTCACTGGGTGGAGAGTGATAAATGAGACAAAATTTATATATTACGCATAATTCGTACAAACTTTTAAATTACTCTTTTTCCAGGATGGAGTAGCGCTCGGTACATACGTTCCGAAGAAGATCCGAAATTAATAATACACAACGGTCCATAATAGAATTTCAGCTCGAACCGAAATACAGAATGCCCGGAGATTTATAAATTTATTTCACAACGCTTTGTGTGCAAAATGCGCGATATAAATAATAACTGTCGAATGGAAGCGTCGTTCTGAGAGAGATCGAACAATCGCCGAATCTCGAATATATCGGCGCGCGAAAATTTCGCGGCACGGACGAAATTCATACGGAAACGCGTAAGTTCTGTTTCTCGCGTGAGATCGATTCCATTCCTCGTAAATGAGAAAATTTGGTCGGCACCGCGAAGCGAGAGGACGGCGAAAGGGGAAGGGGGAAAGGGGGCAACGTGGGGAAGGATTCTATTCGCGATCGATAGGGGATTCCAACGGTCGGCGTTGGGATACGCCGAATAATTTCGAATCCGCGGATGAGAGAGAGGAGCGAAGCGCGTTTTGCGCATCGTCATTACTATAAGAAACTATTTCTCGCGGGGTCGCGTTATATTCGCGGCTGCTTTCATTATGGGGGGACTTTCGCGTAATGACGATGTCGCTCTGATAACCAGTCGTAGCTGTCTCACAGCGAAATCCAGTGGTTCCCAAGCCCCCGAGCGGCACAGGATCGTTTGATCTAATTAAAAGATGAGGCGTAACTTCCTTACGACATTCGCGCGGAGAATGGTCGAGGAAATGTAATCTTTAATTAACGTAATGTATCCTTTTTATCGACCTTTCGTTTTCTTTAGCGCACGAAGGCGATAAAGGAGAGGAGATATCATACTTTCATTACGGTTATATGTTTTTTTAAGGAAGAGATAATTTATTATTTTCGCGTAGCATCTCTCTCACACGCGTACTATTAATCTAAAGATAGCGAGATGATATTTTTAGCAAAGTGGAAACACGGAGAGAGAAATGGTCCATGTGGAAATACCACATCGCCAAAGTGGACTATTTCTTGAACTTTATAAAATCGATAACTATAGAATATTATGTGAGAAACGTGGCGCATACCTTTATTCAACTATTTTCTGCAGACACAAAAGCCTGTCACTTTTCCTATTTGGGAAGCACTGCCCACAAACGAATCGATGAGGTATGCATCGCGAGGCGATATTCAGCTGCCTCTCATGACATGACACGGCAGAAACTCACCTTCGGCTTTCATTTCCTCTTTTCCCCCGGGGGCATGAGTCGAGATTCGGATCCATACGCGAATCCCTGCGCGTTCCCTCCGCATATGCCCTAATAACTGCGCCGAGATCCGTTTTGATAAGCGTAGCCAACGAGAGCTACCAAGTATTGTCGTTTTAATGACGTATAATATGCTGCTTCCTTCCCCGGCCCTTCTCTTTCGACGAAGCTAATAAAATATAATTAACGAACCGCTTTTTTTTTTCCCCTCGCTTTTTCAGGAATCTGCTCGGGTCTGCGGGAAGTACGTATCCAGATACCAACGGCCGTGAAGAAGGGCGAGTCGGCGACGCTGAATTGTTGGTACGACACCGAGGGTGACCCGTTGTACGCTGTCAAGTGGTACAAGGGAGGACGAGAGTTTTATCGCTACGCCCCGATCGAGAATCCGCCAGTCAAGACTTTCCCCATCGGAAACCTGACGGTGAAGGTGAGTTTCTTCCGGCCCGGGCTCATCTCTCTCTTCCCTTCTCAGTTCTCAACCCTGTGACGAACGAGCTTACAACCTTCCGCTGTCCCGCGGGCCATCGCGAAATCTAGAGATCCTTTCGTGTCCCGGTGGGACCAGGCGGAGAAAAAAAGTCGAGAAGGGAGAGAGGGAAAGAGAGAGAAAGGGAGCAAAAGCGAGGATTTATTGCGGTCGAGAAGTTGCGAATGGAACACGATAACACCGAACGCGCCGGAACGTATAGTACCTGCTGCCCGTATAGCGAACCGCGTTCTACATATCGGTCGATCGAAGTTTTTGAATTCGAGCTGTCTCCCTACGAGAGGGGTAACTGATGGCCCTCGTCGATGTGTGTTGCCCGTTCTGGTGTCGCGCTTTCTCTCCATTAAATTTCGCGCGTTTCTGGTTTTTCTTTTTGACTTTTTGAGCGTACAGGAGTTATCGTATCTTTTATTGCAATTTTATGCTCGATTGATAGGATCATAAATTTTCTGGGGAGCTTCTTTTTTAATATTTTTTCCCAACTTTTTTACATATTTTTGCATATTTTGATACATTATTTTTATTAACTGAAAAGAGCATCGACGTTTTTCGTTTATTATTTAATAAAGAGATATCTATGGAGGAATTTTAATCCTGAAGAATATTCTGTTTTCTGCTTCATATATTCTGCGAGAAATTCGCGGACGTTTCATTTATACGCTTCAACCTAGTTGCTTAAAGCGTCGTTAAATATAATTTTATGTGCGCTTCATATATGCGAGATGCGATCTAGCAAAGCCCGATGTAGAATTTCGCGTTTCAGACGTGACAGCTCGGATTACGAGCTAATAATGTTTGTTTAACGAATGCCTACAGTGAGATACGACTCTGTCATAATGGCCAACAGATCGTTTTGCATTACTGCACTCGCACACGTGATTTTTTAACGTCGACTCTACTACTGCTTACGCGTCGCGTTTCTATTTTTGCGATGCCGGATACCGAGAGCCGCGGGCGTATTTTCGCTCGAAATGCAATTCGAAAAGCCCTGACGCCTTGCTACGATATTTATTACTTTTAACATCGCCGATAACGATTCGCGCGCAATTGGCACTCGAATAGGCAATTGGATGTAAAAAAAAAGAGCAAAAAAACAAGCGCGAGTGCATCGCGAATATTTAACGCAACGAGCGGAAGCACGAGATGAGGTATCCCGTTTGGGAATAAACAAGTATAAACCTAATGTATCGCATAACTAGATTATTAGATAGATTGATCGCAAATCGCGCGATTGCCAAGAGTATCGATCATTAATGGATCGAACCGTTTCTTTCCTTACATCATAAGCGAATACGTTACACGTATCTTTCTTGTGACATACGTGCCGTGAGTTTCGCCGCGAGAATTCCCGCGATCTTTGTGATCCTTGTGATAATCGCGAAGACGAGAACGCCTCGTGCCAGAGCGTACAATCATAATGAATTATCGTTGTTCCGCAGAAAACGGAGAGCAACGCGACGCAAGTCGTGCTGACAAAGTTGGAATTGGAAGCGGCGGGCGTGTATAGTTGCGAGGTATCAGCTGATGCACCTTCCTTCCACACAGCTATAGTTTACGCGACGATGAACGTCGTTGGTAAGTATACTCTTTAATTTTCTTATTCCGTACATTAATAACTTGAGACGTCAATCATCAATTGTGTAAAAACACGCTGAAGAATCATGCGGCGGGGTGATTTAACGCGCGCAATCACTTTACGATGCCTCGTTGTCTCATAATATCGATTCCCATAATAAGGGAAATCATAATAATAAGTGCGTTACTTAAATCGTACTTTCGCGACGCATCGGTGTAAAAAGTTTTACGATCGACGATAATTTATTATACGACGAACCGATACGTTCCACGAGAAAATGCCTCGCGAGAAAGTAGCATTTTTCGACATTTACAAGGGTTGTATCCAGCAATATATTCCAACAACGTAAATTGCACGTCGCAATTTTGCGAGATTCTGTCATTAAAATGTAGCATCCAATAAATTCAGCGCCAATAACGCTTTCCGGGGCTTCTTCTTCGAAGAATACACCGTAATCTATTCTGATATTACGTACGCTGAGCTTCTCCATCGGAGAGAATTAAATATCTTTTTTAATTACTCTCATGCTTCTCGCGCGTCATAACCAGTCTCGCTCGCGAATAAAAAAACACAATATGCATCCATGAAAACGCACGCACTCTCGCGCGCTGTTTCCGATGGGACACAAATCTTCCGAGAGAACGGATCTGCTCGATATTCGCGCATCTCGCGTCAGAGCGACGACGTTTTCCGCCGGTAAAACGCGACGAAGCGTGCAATTATTTTATTTTGCAAGCGAAGATTGACGGTGACAACGTGCAGATGCTTGTAACAATCTGCATACCTTGTACATGCATGCGCGCGTATGATGCGGTAGCGAGACGGTCGGACACGCAAATCGCTTCTGTCCATCGTAAGAAAAGAAAGTTTTTCGTACGAGAATGCGAGGGGAGAGTTCGTTCCCTCGTATCGACCGGCCGTCACCGTCGCCGAAAGTTTCGGGCTGTGTCGGGCTTTGGAGAACGTCGACGGGTCCGGTCAAGCCCGGTCAAAGCGACGACGACTCGACTGCACGCAAGCTCGATGTTTGGGCGCGTGTATATATACAGGGTGTACATATCCCAGACCTAGCAAGCCACTTTTTACATATGTATTTTTTAATTTCAATGTAAATCCTTATCTTATCGGAAACATCGAGAGACCGATAGTTATTAATTTATACGCGGTTAAAGAAGAAAGAGGAATTATCTCGAAAATTCATCTCATAAATTTCGAGTAAATTTCGTTTGAGATTTATAACTTGAAAATATATTTATCAGAAGAATATTTAATCTAGATAAAGAATCTAAAACTTTTTGTGTAAAAAAAAGAAGAAGAGAATGATTTTTATCTCGATATTTTCGCAGAGTAAACATCTACTAAAAATGACGATTCACTGAGATTCAAGTGGCTAGATCTGGGACACCCGGTATTATACACGGAATATATCTTGCCTTCGCAGAATTGCCCTCTCAGATGCCATCGATACAAGGGCTAAAGAGGAAATACCGTGTCGAAGATATGCTGCGTTTGAACTGCACATCCGGCCGGAGCAAGCCAGCCGCGAATCTCACTTGGTATATCAACGATCGACAGGTATGCTCCAACTGCTAATGATGGTAATGCGCGCGTGGTTAGACGAGAGGAGAGACGGTTGGAAAGGAATGGGGACGACAGAGGAGGAAGGGGATCAGATACCTCTATTTAGTTTACCTTGGCTTTGATCTATTATCCCTTATCAAACGTCGGAGACAAGGGAGCTTATGGGATACCTTCCTCCTCGAAATGTTCCAAAGTTAGAGACAGCAACGTTAGCAACGTGGAAAATCATTCAACATTCTGATCTTCTCGCGATTGACATGCAGTACTTCCATAAATATCCTTTGGACTTAATTAAGATTCAATTGAAAGTAGGATAATTTGAAATGTTCGAGAATTTAAAGACGAAGATATATCTTTAAATAACCAATACGTCAAAATATTTTCAACTTTAAATGTTACAGATAACGTTTTTGGAAATTGTGCAGGAAATGTTACAGATAACGTTTTTGGAAATTGTGCTCTTAAATTGAAAATTTTTATACAAGCTTAGACGAGTTTTAGAGCTCAAGTATTTTCATAAAACATCATTTTCACAAAATAGCTTTCATAATTACTTTACATTAACGCACACATATATAAATTATTTCGCGTGCTAGATACGAATATACGGTAAAATGAATTGCTATGCTACTGACAATTTATATAACAGCAGCATTTTTTAAAAAACCGTATTAAATAACGCAGAAAATGATTTTTCATCTTTATGCTGCACAGTTAAATATATATACGCATAATTTATCTTCTAACAGTATCCATTCTTTTATATAGTCAACTCATCACATATTCATTAATAAAATTTGGTCATTATATATTTTAAGATTAAAATTGAAATATTAAATATTATTAATTGCTTGAAAGATTAAAATTATTTGAAATAATTTAGTAATTTATAATTTCTGTCAGAGCATGTTTGTGACCCTGCATGATGAAAAAATTAAGCTTTCGTTGAAAATTATGTTTATTCACATATCACACTTATCATACATATCTATAGTATTACATTGATCGTGTAGGTTCACACACATTCAGACAAATTTTAGATACTCTCGTTGATTGATTTTTATATGTTTTTTCTTTCTCAGCCTCTCAAGTCGCACGTCCGCACGTACAGCCCGCTCGACACGAACGAATCGGAGTGGCAAGTCTCGCAGATTGGGCTCCAGTTCCTAGTTACATCCGACCACTTCATGAGCGGCAAATTGAAGATACGTTGCAGCGCGTCGATATATGACATTTATTGGCAAAGCACGGAGGTCAGCGCCGAGGAGGATCGACCGCGCGTGATACACTATGAACCGGCCGCGACTATCGTCGGCATCAACTACTTGCAACCACCGCCGAATTTTCAGACCGGTCAGAAGAAACCCGACGGGCAAGTTGGGGTGAAAGGTAGTTTTCCGCTTTTTCTCATTGCCTTTATGTGGCTGTAATTTTATTATTTGAAAAAAATATCCGACAAATACGTTCATAATTGTCGCGGTTTTTTATCGACATTCAATCATATCGAGATACCTCGAGAATTTAAACGCGAGTAAATGCGGATTCGTTTGACTATTGTAGATCGTTTTATTTTTCCGAACTTGAACGATATCTATTTGCGTTTCCATTGAAACAACCTCACGTATGTGCAATCGAGACATTTAGAAAACTATGAACCACGCTCTGAATTCTTCCGCGATCGAGCAAAAAAAAATAAACAGGCAAGAGGGATATCGTATCATTACACATCTCGTTCGATAATATTTTGCAGTGCTGGGATCCTCCACGGTGAATCTGCGACCGTCGGCGAGGCTCGTTTTGGAATTGTTTGCGCTTCTTCTAATCGCCATTCGTTAAAGACGTATAGTGCATCGTTCGAGAAACGCGCTTTGGAACACTTTGCGTATGTCGACGTGCTTGTGAGAGGAGAAGGGCTCGAGAGGCGCTTTGTGCGATGATGACGTTTTCCTCTATGGGATCGCCTCGGATCGCCACGACAGCAGCAATATACAACCGGAGCGAATACCGGGAGCTCCTTGGATCACGTCAAGGCGTTGAAATCTGAAAGGCTTGTTCGTATGATGAGGGAATGGAAGTGACGGGGTGCGGCTGGGAGTTTGAACTGCTTCGCAGATAGAAGAGACCGAAGGAAAAAAATCGACGACGATACGAGAGCAAACCCCTGCGAGATGATGTACTCGACGTTCATTTATCCGATGATCAACGAATGTTGCAAAAAGCACTATAGCGACGACTGGATATACAGCTGAATATACTCACGATATATATGTTTTATATATAATATATATACATATATATATATATATATATATATATGTGTATATTATTATTATTATTATTATTATTATTATTATTATTATTATTAATATTATTATATTATTATTAGATCATGTACTCTTGCTTCCTTCCAGCGGGATACTGTGTTTGCAATGTGTAGGTATACATATATATTATATAGCACGTTTTGTCGCATCGTATGGAAAGATAGTTTTTTTTTCGTACTTTTATAACTCAGAAAGAGACTATAATATGTAATATGAATGTACGTGCGTATTCCTCGATAGCATACAAATATACATACATAATACAGATACACGCATACGCGGAGACATGTATGTACACGATAAACGTGAAAATATTGCGTAAAAATTGTTCGACACACGCTTACATACCAACACATACACTTTCTCTCTCTGTATGAATAATCGATAAGTAAAAGTGATCGAGGATATTGCGGCCCGCCTAAGTATTTTACAGTGTGCGAGATGATGTACCTGAATCGGATATTCGTGCGAACTTCTTTTATGTTGCTATTTAGGGACTATGTATTAATAAGCGAGGAAAAAATGTGTGCTATATCAAGTTATATGATAACGATAACTTTGTGTATCTCGATCATTCCATATTTCGTATTAAACTGTAACTAATTTATTAACAAGGCTGATTTAATTGATGTACAGACTTATATGGAGTTTATTATAAATTCAATTATCTAAATTATATTTCTGTGTGTGTGTATCTGTGTGAATATACTCCTTCATTTCTCACATTTGACTGCAGTTCGAAAAACGTATTTTAATATTTTCTTCACTATGCAAATATACTCTACTGTCCACCGTATATCCTATTCATCAGCTGATGAAATCATAAATTACATCGCTCGTAATTTGAACGTATTGATTTTCATTTTAAATATAGTCTTGGCAAATATTTTAATACTTCTACGCGTCGTATTAAAATTGCTCTACAAAAGAACATAAGAATAGAATATCATAAAAAAATGTCGAGTAAAACTCTTATTTTATTTGTCTTTTTTAATAATAATTTTTAGATAAATATGGTTGACTTTTCTCGGTACTAATATACATATACGCAATTATAAAAATATAATTTTACAATGATATAAGCGTAATGATACGAGTATAAAATAATTATTCTGTATATTGCTAGGAAGCAGAATTTTATTGTTATTTGTTATTTATGCATTGCGTCGATGGTGTGTTAATTTTATTTTCTATGTTGCTCAATATTTTTATTCATTTTAAACGATTCGGATCGGCATTAAAACAATGCCATTGCATAAATAACATTGCAAGCAAAAGAAGAGAGTTGATCGGAGTTATGCCAACGGGAAAACGCACACGATTCCCACAAACATTAAATAAAATATCGTTCGACAAAAGCACGCGTTAATTCGCTTGGCGAATCGAGGAAACGCCGCTTTGCGGATTATTATATTTATTTATGCATGACCGACGTGTGTGCGCACACCGTTAATGTGATAACTCGATTATTGCACACCGTAATGTTTACCATATGCCGCTATGCGAAACACATATGTAATTGCACGAGTACTGATACTTGTGCGCTTGTAATTGAGTGCCAGGAAGAGTCGGGTTATTGTCCTGAAATACCGACTTTGCAGAATGTGACAATTATGTCTCTTCGTCTCTATTATATATAGATCTATTATATCAAGATTCAGTCATAATTTATAATCGCTAATGATTTCACTAATAACAATTAATTTAATTAATAGTAATGATTAATTTTTATGTGCAATTTTGAATTTTGCATTTGACAAATATGACCAATCCGAGCAGAACAATTTCAAAAATAACAATATTTGGAAAAGAGAATATAATTTTATATATATTATATATATATTTTACATATATATATATATATATATATATATTTATTTATTTATTTATTTATTTATTTATTTATTCGCAAAGAAATATTACCGATTATTTGAAAATTTTTATTTTATGCACATTTATTTGAAATGCACATAATAAGATGGTCTTAAAAAATCTCTTTCTCTCTTATATTTTTCTCTTTTATCTCTTAAGTATCGTGTTGAATACGGTTAAATTGCTCGCAGAATGCAATAGTAACAATCTGTGAACGTGATTATTGACTGAAATGCTCCTCTTGTAAGCATGAAGATTGTTGTTTTCTAAAAGAAAGAGTTTTGTAAAAGTACTTCAATAACGAAGAAACTGAATTCTTTATTCGCTCGGAAGTTATAAAATTTTTTCAGATTTACATTTTTCTACCACTTCATACAATTATTACATGAATAAATAATAAATAAATAAATTTTTATGAAATATGATTCGAGTGAAAAAGAAATTATAATGCACGAGAGAAATTCTCAACGTTAAAAATTCTAAGATATGTAGAGTAAACGATTCTCTTGTCACTCCAGTTTTCACTCACAGTTGTCATACCCTGATATGATGAAAGAGCACGCGTTTTTCGGCATTGGCAAACACACATTACATTACGACTATGTGTCAAAGCTTATACATAATGTCATTCAGATATCTCGATTCCGATGCTGCATGTTTGTACGAAAATAATCTAAATTACATTTCTTAAATAAATTTCTTTCCACCGAGATGAAAATAAATAGTATAAAATTACTTGTTATCAATATATGCGCAAAATTTTTTTTTTATTGCGTATCTATTGCTGTAGCTATTTCGTTCGACACAGAATGCCGCCTCGGATATGGTCCACGAGGCCAGGAGCGACTGGCGGCAATCGATGATGCCAAGCCACGAGAGTGTAGGTACATGTCAGACGCTCACGGATACTGACGGGACACATGTTAAACCCAATACGGCAGTATTCGCACACGAATGCGAATTCCGTTGCCTGGCGACGGTGAAAACCGGAGCAGCGTTACGTCGGGGATTTGTGGAAGGATGAGGATCGTCGTCGACAGTTTGGACGATTCTGCCACCGGTGCGGCGAGTGAAAAAATTCTCTCGCGAATTTCGCTCAAGTCGAGTTTTTTCGCGGCGAAGATTCGCAACAATCCGACAAAAACTGACGCCGGTCGATCTTCTGTAGATGATCAGATTGGTACGAGAAATTCGAGGAGAGTTAATTCTCCACGTCCTCCTTGATATTGTCGATCGTTCCGGGTGATATTCAGCAGTGATCGACGCAGTTAAACGTCAATACGCAATTTACGCTTCGCGTTTGTTGTCCTAATAATTAATTTCCTCCAAGTACCATGTTCTCTGTTGAGGGATGTAAAACGATGCACACCGAACTCTTCGACAATCGACAACCTTAATGAAAACGCATTAATGCGTGTAATGTATTCCGACCTTCCGTGAGAAAACCCTCTCCTAACAAAGACGTCGCTCTTACGAGCACGTGTGGGAGTGTGTGGCATCCCGCGAAGAGAATCCAATAACGCAAGTCGGAATTACTCCTCGCATATTTCCACTTTGACCTTTGACTCGGGCCGATATTTATGCGCGGTCGCGGAAAATGGGGCGTGTCTTGATATCTCGTAGACTCTGGTGAGTCGCGACGATGATAAATCGCGAGTATCGCGACAGATGCTGATGAATACGCGGTATATCGTGCGCGAAGCGGATTTCGTGGCGAGATTTCTTGGCGCCGGATCAGCGGAAGCGAATACTCGCAACCTGCCATCGTCGTAAAGAAATTTTTACAAACTCGTTGGACCTCTGCCCGAAATTCCGTCATGGAGTCGCTTTTGGAGCAGAGTAAGTCCCAGGGACCGCATGTCGCCTGTTGTATATACCAGTTGCCTCTTCCCTCGAATTTTCTCGACAAATTTTCAGGATATATTCGGGCAAAGCGATTTGACACTGTCAATAAATTCGCATGAAATTTGCCAATTTCCACGCATGGCAAAACACTTTGCACTCAATGCGTTATTTAAATTTTATTCTCAAAGAATATTATTACTCCAGAATTTTTATCTATTAAAAAGAGAATCTGAACTTTTTTCTCATCAATTGAAATTTATTCAAAAATTTTACTTGGCTTTTCTATGAGAAATGATCAAGAGTTATATTTATATATATTATATATACTTTTTGTATATTTTTATAAAGATTTATTTATGAAACATCAAAAAAATTCAATGTAAATTTATTTCTTGATATTATATTTTATGTAACGTGACTTGTAAAATTTTAGACAAGTCTGCCAAAGATATATTTATGTTCACATACCGTTTGCATGTGTGTTTCCCGTCACAGTTACGTTTCTACTTTCCGCTCTCGCATGCGCCGAGGAAAACTGGGTGAACTGGTCATCAGCAAAGCGCACGAGCGCGAGAAAACGGTGTTCCCGATAAACTGCGCTCGCCAAGTATCCCAACATTCGGACTCACCTGCATCTTGCACCTGGCGCAGGTAACGTACCTGGCGCCTTCTAGGAATAAACACCGGATGAAAATATATCGCGCGCGAAATATTTCTGTCGCCGGATAACGGATGGCACCACAGATTCCGCAGCGCGGAATCGAAAGCTCGCGAGTGGAGATAATCGCACAGCAATTTGCGCGCGTCAGCGATCGATACGACGTTTGATTAATTGCGATAATGTATCCCTCCTTCCCTCCCCTTCCTCCCGCTTTTCTCCCGGTATTTTTCCTTTCTTCCCCTTGCGGCGAAAAAAATAACGAGCTAGGAAAATAAGCGTTCGATGATTCCGCGATCGCTCAGAAAGCCGAGCTTGACGTGCGCGAAAGCTCGTGAATATTCATTCCGATCATCTTCAATCGCGATGGCGCAAAAGCGACGAATTACCGTCGGGCTCGCGCTTGTAAACATCGGCCGTATGAATAAGTTACGCTCAATTATTGTATACACGAAATATATGTCGAGCTAATAAAGCGTGTTACATTCGAAGCTGCATTTTACATGAGTATGTAAAGCTCGTATAAAATATACGCGGCGATATGCGACAATTTCCCGTTTCTTCTCGCCTCTCTGCCTTCCCTGCTTCTCGTTTCCTCCATTGAATTTTGATGTGATGCGGGAAAGAATAATGTGCCATTTTCAGCCTCGTGCTGGATTTCATTGATAAAAAAAATCGAACATTAATTTCGATACTTTATGCTGTGTCATTTCCGCGAAACGTATCGACTTCCGTATCTAGTCGTGAAATTATCTGCCGCGCGTTTTTCCCGGAAAGTCAATAGTTTTTCTCGTTTTCTACCCGGCAAGGTATCGGGCATGGTCGTGCAATCGCGGAATCTGCGATCGTCACTGTGCATTGCCAACGATATTGTAAAACGCATGCCTATTACATCGTAGGTAGCGCCGCAAATCGACAAACGTAAGTTTCATCGCGAAAGTTTTTAACATAGAAAGGAGAAAGAGCGGGAGAAAGAGAAAGAGAGGAAATGAGACTAGAAAATAACGATTCGAAAGAGAAGTTTGCTCGTTACAAACGATGAAATTACACGCGGGATACGCAAGTTGCATTTGAAATAAAAGTTACATCCCAGCGAAATTACATTAACTCCATTTTAGACGATCTGCAGAATTCGCGACAGAATTCGCAAGATGTGTAATGTGATATGTAGCGTAACGTGGAAAGCATATTTGAATTAGAATTATATCCGTAAAACGTGCAATATATATATTTTTTTATTTTTAATACGACAGAGATTAATAATTAATCCATAATTTCAATACTTCAAATACATGTACAAAGATAACGATATTTATTCCGAAAACAAAGATTTAATAATTTTTATTCAAATGTATGATTATTAAGTTAGCACATACGAATACATGAGATTTAATAATTAAAGCAACGAGATGAAGCAGATCAGAAAACGAAATAAACGATGGGAAAACAATTCGATTATGTACGAAATTTATAATACATAGTCAGAATCAGAAACATGATGCAAGCTTCCGCGCCGCATTTAGAAATCTATTTGTAGACATAAAAATACATACGATGTCTCTCGACAATTTTATCCGGGATTGTACACAAATGGTTCAAAGTAGACTTTTGTTCGGCGATTATTCGCGATTTATCGAGCGTGTTCGTAGAGAAACGCGACGGGAGCGTGTCTGACGCGCGTGTTCATTATCAGCGGCGCGACACGCGTACGGGGCGCATCCCAAAAGAGCGTATTTCGTGCGGCTCTAATTGAATGGCTTAATTCGTCACGGTGTGGGCGTGTTTCGCCAGGAGTTTCCGACTTTGTGGAGCTGGAACGAGCTGGGAGTCGCGACGCGCGCTTCGCCGCTCTTAATTTAATGCGGGCTTAAATTTTTCAGGAGCTCCTATCTGTGGCGAATTATCTCGCGGCCACACACGAGTCTGTGTGCGCGAATCCCCCGTCTCTCCCCGTGCATACATCAGCGCTGGGCGCCATGCACCGCGTGCGACTGGCTTAACGTCGTTTTCGGGGTGCTCGTCCAGAGCCGTTACGCGTGCGTGCTCAAGTACGACCTCTCGTATATCTGGTGAACACACCATCCCGGGGTCACCCAGGTTCGTCTAAACCGCCGCATTTAGCGTTAAACGCGGTTGTGCGATTGTGCGATTCTAATAGCGTTTTCATTCCTAATCGAGTCGAATGGCCATCAATTATCATCTCCCGTTCCTGGCGAGAGAACATTTTATATCAATATAGAGAAAGCGCTTGTATTTATAGAAATATCTCTAGCTTCTTATTTTAATAGTTTCATAATGTATAAATTTAATAGTTTCATGCGATTTTCGTACAAGAGATTTTAGACAAGTGAGTTATTTTTATGTTTGATAGGAATATAAATATACGTACATATATTTAGGATTAATAGCCGTAATATATTTGAAATATGTATAAGAATATGGGAGACATCTCCCTTTAGATTCTGGTGCTTCATCTCTACAGGGACACAAGTTATGCCCGTTCCGAGTTTGTCAAGAACAATTTTCGCCGACTCGAAAAATTTAACTCAACGTTTTGGAAATAAATATTTAGGCGATTCCGCGAGCGAAGGGCTCTTAGAGAAATGTCTTTTGCGATGAATTATAAAACGCTTAGATAGAGAGTTGGCGTTTATTTCGTGAAAAATACAATGTATCTTGAAATTGCACTCGCATTAGTCTTATGCAAACTCGTTCATTATCTTATCGCCATGTTCGCTCATCGAGATATCAAAAAATCGATTATTTCTCATTGAGATTAATACTTCTAAGTAATTGGTTTAAAAGAAAAATCGTTTAATATTTCAATTTCTTCTTTCATGTTATCAGTTTTGAGAAATTATTTTATGTATAATATCTTTTTTGTCTTTATTATAAGAATAAATTAAAATGAAAAAACATTTAATTTATTAAAGTTTTAATAAATATATCGCGTTTCGCAGAATAATATTTTCCAGATAAATAGAAAGAGAGAGAGAGAGAGACAGGCACAATAAAAGATATTGTTAAATTAAGTACATGGATATAAATTTACCGACAAGGCTCGAGACAGAGAGAGGAGGAGATTACGAAACACAAACGTTCATTATCGATGAAGCTCCAACTACGGGAAGTACGCACTATCTAATGATTTTTGCAGGCCGATAGCAGCTTGTTTACAGAGCGAATGTCCTTTATAATTGCAGTCGATTGGAGAACCGGCGATAAATGACGCGGTCCGATGACGGAAGATAATGTCATTAGTCGAACATAGTTATCCTTGTTGCGCCCGCGCGATCGCGCTATTGCAAAGCAGCCGGGCTCGCCGGGCACGGGCGCAATTGCGTTCCCTCTGCGCTCTCTGACGTCGCGCAATTACCGGTATCATTACTAATACGCATGCCGATACGAACGTCTCATGGTGCGGCGTAACCGCGGAATCGAAATACGGTTTCTCTGCGCGCAGCTATTATTCAGCACACACGTTACGAGTTATCCGGAACGCATCACCCGACATGTCGCGTGCGCGGTCTCGTCCGCGTCGCATAAAAAATTCACGGTGCAACGACCGCTATTTTTCAACTGGTCGCAACGATATCGTCCAACGGAATACCGAGCGAACGCGAAACGCAAGAGCGTAAGATAACGCGGCGGCCCGATGAGAAAAAGGGCGCGAATGGGCAAAAATGACATGGGATGGGGTCCAATTATGTCACCCTCGCGCGAGTGCGGCATATCTGCGTTTTCCTCGGTACCATCATTATATCGATCGCTTTCGATCGGTTATTATCAGCGTGAGTCTCTGTCCCTCTTTCTCCGCGCAAAGAACTTTCCTACGGGAAAATTCCTTTATTATGGGACCTTATCCGGTCGCCCTGAAGGTAATCAGTTTTTCGATAGTTCACCCAGTGGGATTACCGGCGCGGTCTAATTACGCTGCCTTTTCAAAGAGCACCCCTGAAATATTCACAAGGTGCTCGGGTCTTTTTTGCGCGGACAATTCCGTGTTCAAAGGCGTTCTGGTCGGAGCGCAGGACGATACAGAGCATTCGTTTCTTACGAAGCGAGGGAGTGCCGTGCGACTGAGAATCGTTATGTTTTATTAGCGCGCAAAGAGCTCCGCTGGAGCACTTTGTTGAAATGCACTCCACGGTCTCGTTTAACTGATATTAAACGAAAGGGAAACGGCGCGGGAGGTTCAGGTTGCCTGAATTTCAGCAGCGTTAGTTAATTATATGTACGCGCATACAACGATATTATACAATAACAAAACAAATATTTGTCGAGCGAGAGAAAAACAAGTAAATATTAAATATACCGTTGCTTTTTATTATTCGTCTAGTTCAATTACGTAGCAAATGTTTGCATGTGGTACGTATGGAATATACATGTAAAGAGTATACGCATACAAATCTCTCTCAAAACGCTGCTTGACACGCACGACGTGTTTAATGCGCGACATTACAATGTACTGTCCATTCTAACGCGGCATAAAAATATAATGACGAGAGTTCAGCGACGTCGGTTCTCGTTGGAATTGATTTTTCCTGGGAAATTGACAGCGCAATCGATGATTGTTGCAATTTTAAAATATCTACTATTGAATATTGCAAGTATGAAATAAAATTTTGAATGAAGTCCGTTTAAAATTAGTCGAAGGATAAAGTTCTATTATCTATTTACACTCTCGCAAAGGCTGAGAATTCTTAACTTCTCGATGGTAAATAGCTCCATAATTACAACTTTTTGCTCGGTGATTTTTCCCGGCAAAAGTCGACTTCAATTTCTTTCGAAGAGAGATTAAAATCTCACATAAAAAGAAACGATAGTTGAACCGTTGCGCAGGATCTTATTAATTCGCTTTTCAACAGAAATCGCAGAAATCTTGTCAAAGACGTCAAAGAAAGCAAGATAAAGAGAGAACGAAAGACAGAAACTGAGTGGGCGAGCAACTTTTTATGCAAATTGTTGCACCGCATAATTTGCTTGCAACAAC